CGAAATCACCCTCAGGTCAGCAGATGGTACGGCCGGATTTGACGTTTTTATTTATGACTATCCCTTTATAACATCTTTCTATCTAACGATCACTGTTTTCCCACTACCAATTAAGTTCAACAGCAGATCAGGGGAATTACAGTACAGAATATCCCGTCCTCAACGATTTCGGTGCGGAAAAGTCGTTTGAAACGATTTCGGATCCATCAAGATGTGACAAAATAATCCGCGTGTGACGATTTGGAAAGCCATCTTTCAGTACGGACTAATCCGTCCGTAACACTGAGAGGGTTAAACAATAGCTCTTCAACAGATTACTTGAAACCATGCCAACACCTCAAGACTCTTGGCAGAAACTGGATTAATGGTGCTGCCAGTTTGAGAAATTCAGAAATATCAGTATGATGAAAATTAATGCATACAAATTTTTTAAAGCCGGGGGAAAAAATAAAATCACAAAAAGATTTTAAAGTTAAAAATCATAGTGATCAAGTCTTAGTTTAACCTGTTGTTTATTGATAAGTAGCACAATAAAAAATCAGAATCATAATTTAGATAACATCTTTGAAGACACCTTTGAAGGAATTCGAAGATATAAATTAAATTTTAAAACCGCGCGGAAATGCACAAATTGTCAGTAACCAATCAGGGAGCTGATTACAGCTCGTTAATGCACAAATATTCTATAACCAATCAGAGAGCTTATTACATCACGGCTAGAATTAAAATTTAAAAATTCATACATAATAAAATCATTTTTAAAAAAAATGCAAAATTAAATTGTATTTTAATATTTAAAAGCCATAAATAATGTTTAAAACATTAGATTAAATTTATACATATTAAAAAGAATTATTTTTAAAGTAAGGCTACGTCATTGATTACATCATCCACAACATAAAATTTCATAAAATATGATAAATAATAAAATTTTTATTTCAAATAAAAATGCAAAATTAAATTGATTTTTAATATTTAACAGCCATAAATAATATTTTAAACACAGAATTTATGCACAATAAAACGCATTATTTTTTAAATAAAATGACAACAAAGTATTGGTTACCATAAATAACTTATCCAGCAATGGGTTTACCATAAGTTGTATTACTCACCAAAATCCGTGCAACCATCTACCAAAGTAGCACCTTAGTTTCATTATATTTCAAAGTATTGGCTTATACAAAGATTTCAAAATGAAACGCATAGTCGAACATCAAATTCTTATGTAGTTTTCAATTTCTAACAAGGCATAGGGCATTCAGCAATGTTCCTTGGAATCCTACTTCCCAAATTTTGAGTAACCTTCACTTAAACTGAGCACGTACAGAAAAATTGGATATTTAAGATAAGATGCATTAGCTATTAGGTTTCAAATGAAGGCAGCCAATATTTTATTCTAAACATTAATTTTAATTTCAAAATTTAAGATTACACCTAAATATTAAAAAATTTCTCTTAACTGAAAATATCTCAACCCTTCTAGAATTTAAGAAATAATAAATCAGAATTAAACTACATATGAAGCATACAGCCTAGCAAATATAAACATCACTAAAAATGGAAATGATCAACGTTGATAATGCCATGAACGAATTTGCTCACGGGTAAAAATTTCTCTTTCTTTCATCGCCGATTGCAATTTACATATTACAGTATCACACTCATTTTCATCTTTACACATGCAATTTAAATTTATTCACTTATTTCTATATATCTTTTTAAAAGTGAAGTGACCAAAAAGTAGTCTTAGCAAAGAAAATAGATTTTGTCAAAAATTTATGCCAATGTGCCTTTACCTAATTTTTATTTTATACCAAGAGGTTACTCTTTAATCAAGTCCCATTAAAACAAATGCAGTTAAAAGCTTTTCAATCTAAAGTTGCTGTTGATGAAATGAGACAATTATTAACATACGTATTTCGGCCATTTTCTACCAACGAGATGATATACTGAAAATATAAATACATAAAATTCCTGTCATGTACATATTAAGCGTATATTATACACTCAATACTGTCAATTGTTTTTACACTGAATGTATTTAACTGCATTAAAAATTCAGCACACCAAAGCATGAATAGCGACATTGTTAAATGTTAGTAGTTGAAACTAAATTCTAATTCTGGAAAAATAAGTTTTTGCAATTCTCTCCCATGCACGATATAAAGTTAGTTTTCCTTAAAAAAAGTCCTTCATGAAGATATCCCTCCTATCAGTTTGACAGACCTTGCATGCTTTGCCTTAATCTAAAACGTTGAGCATTCCTTATATTTTATTTGTGATACTCAATTTAGCTGCTCTAAGAGATGATTATTGCTTAAATTACTTCTACCTTTAAGCTTGGAAACATGCCAATGACAGTATGTTATCGTGCTTTAGGAAAGCTGATCCAAGCAAACTCTGAAAATTTAAAATGTTTAGAATATAATCAAACACGTTAAATATATGTTTTATAAATAGTCATGAAGAAACTAATTTAAATATACGAAAACAAAGATTATGGAAGACTTTACACATACACATGAAAAAAAAAAAAAAAAAAAAAAAAAAAAAAAAAAAAAGTGAAAAAAATCCATGGTGCAGAATGATGGAAAACTTAAAAGGAGCATAACAGAATTTTAAACCTATCGATGAAATTATTTACGTTAAAGCGACGATTACCCACAAAAACCAATGTATATAATCCTTTTTACCTTCAGATTATACAAACTCCTTCAGTATTTTAAATATTAAAAAATTTACAACTTTATCAATTAGCAATAGTGGTTTTAAAAGATTTGTATGAAAATATAGTTTTTAAAGCTATGTTATTAATAAGAATTCCAGTTCATTATAACTTCAGACTACTTTTCTTGATGATTTTTCCATTTGCCATGCATGGACACTATTTCCATTCTGTTAACGATTAAAATTTGCAAAAACTTAATTTTTTCATCATAATTAAAAATAGAGTAAAAGTTTACAATTGGGTGCCCCTTGTTTCTTGAAGATTCTTTTTTGACGCCAAGATCGGCGCTTGGAAGGCACAATATCAAGATGGGCATACACAAAACCAAAATAAGAAGTCAAAGAATTGCACAAACTCTGTGTCCATGTACACATCAATCTGTTTTCACTAAAAAAACATCCTAGAATTGCACAAACTAGGCATTGCGCACTACCTTAAATTTGAGCATACACACATCAATCTATTTTCATTTAAATAAAATCAGGAAGCTTGTGCACTACCTTAAATTTGTGCATGTACACATCAGTATTTTCATTTAGATAAAATCAGGAAGCTAAAACAAAGTTAAAACTATCATGGTAAACAGAAGCTAGATTTCATCCCCAAAATTAAAACAAAATTGTCACTAATTGAAGGGGCACCCAATTCTACACTAGAGCTAAAAATAGTCAAAATTTTTAAAATTATACGGAAACATGTAAATGAATTGCAAGGTGGTGACTAACACAATATAAACAAATGCAACTAACTGCATAAGAGCCAGTAGTGTAATCAAAATGTACTTAGAATACATTATATATAAAGACTGCAATAGTAAAAAAATATAAACAAAATTCATTAAAATGCATGACTACTCCATAATTATACACGGGTTCGAAATGGCCATGAGCCTCTTTTGACATTATCATTAATCATAGTTCTAAATTCTTATCTCTGAGTTGCTTAAGGTTCTAAATTTTGCAAGGAAGTTTTTTTACCGAACTACAGTAAAAAAGTTCCAAGTTGACATTTTTTCAACTCTTCATGAATTATGCCATTTCTAATATACCATAGAGTCATTAACTTTCTGCAATATGCAATCGTTTCTTTCTTTGTTTTCCTTACGTGAATAGGCACAGCATGGGACGCACAACTTATTACCTATAGATAAAACACAGACTGTTCCACGCAATTAAGGGGTAGAGCCGAGTTTTACGCACCCAAAACTTGCTAACAATAAAATATATGCATGGGGACCATGTTAATAGAATTTACAATTATCACCCTAAGATTGACTTGCTTAGATCCAGGTGGACATGATTCGGCATGCATGTATATACGCACTCTTACACCTACGAATAAGGTCCTGTTAACAGAAAAGTACCATTTTCTTTTAAACTAAATGGAATACTATGGAATGCTAGTTTAACATGCATACTGACTGCAATTTACAAAATTCCTGGGCTCAATTTAAACTACAACAGTTAGAAGTTACAGAATTCAAAAGTGTCAACAACATTAGAGTTAAAACATGCTAATAACTCCATACACCCAGATAACATATTTCCTCAAATACTTTTGCAAGTATTACTATTTACTGCTTTCACTCATGTACTTCAACGTGTCTGGAAAAGAACATTAATATTGGAAAATAAAATTCTACACTTGTGAAATTATTTCAAAATTAGTTACTAAAATACTTTTACACATTTCATTTTATATAGCGAAGCTTATGAAAACAAATTCACATTTTCTGCTTAACACTATATAACAAAATTCATAACATACTTCTAGATTTTTAAATTACTTAAAAAGAAGATTTAGAAATTTACCATAACGGTCGAGATTTTAGGTTCTCCTCAATTTTGTACTTTGAATCAATAAGATACAAAAACGGGAATAATTATTAACAGTTTCTGTACCAAACTTTAAGGATCATAAAATTAGAAAGACTGATTTTAAGGACTTCAGTAATACACGTATACATAAATACTCGGTAAAGCATACACTTAAAAAATTCAACTATCACATACATACTTAGTATGTCATTAAAGATTTCTAAAACAGTAAGAGATGTTCATTTCCTGCAATCAAGTTTCTCATACCAAATGCATGTATTACATTAAATATCAGTTTAAAATGCTAACATGTATATATAAATGCAGTTACACTGCTGAAACTAAATAAATGAATTATCAATGATTCTTGGACAGCACGGAAGGAGAAATCCAATACAGAACTTAACATTTATGTTATCATAACTAGAAGGAAATTAAAAGCCATTAATATTAAATCATAATTATTTATTAAACATTACACCAACAAATGAAACAGAGCTCTGGATTACATTGTTTCAACACAGAACACTGAAGAAAGTATTGAAATGTGAAATTATACACGTTCCACTTACACGTTTTACATAAAATTTAGACAAGTAAAGATATTAAAAACGCACGATAATATAATAGTTCGAAACTTGACAGAGGGGGGCAAAATCCGCCCAATAAAATCGATGCAGGAATGAATTTGCAGCATCCAAGAGCTCGCGACAAAAGGAAAATTCATCCACCAAAACCGTACAGAGTACGGCCCTGGCGTTTCAAAGCATAGACAACATCCATAGCTGTCACAGTTTTTCGCTTGGCATGTTCGGTGTAGGTAACGGCATCACGAATCACGTTTTCTAGGAAAACTTTCAAAACGCCACGAGTTTCTTCATAAATCAAACCAGAAATACGCTTTACACCACCACGACGAGCAAGACGACGAATAGCAGGTTTGGTAATACCTTGAATATTATCACGAAGAACTTTACGATGACGCTTTGCACCTCCTTTTCCTAAACCTTTGCCACCTTTACCACGACCAGACATTGTTATGGAGAGAAATTAACACTTCTCAAAAAAACTAAAGGTACAAATTGTACACTCAAACGACGCTAACACAACTCGCTACGTCTCAACGAACAAAGCAACTGACACAGACACTGCCAATAGCATTAAAAAAAATTTTGAACCGAATTCGAACCTGTGAGAGAGCTAAGGAGAATGTCCGCTTTCAGCCAATCACAATATTTTAAAATAATGATATAACAGAACTTGTGAGAGAGCTCTTCATTTGCATAATTTTTTTTTAAATTGAATGTGTTGCCATACTCTAAACTAAATATTCATAATTTAATTTAGTCAAGTTTTGTGGTTTTGTTTTCCCGATTAGTAGGATTAATATTTGTAATGTTACAAAAATTATAAACAATTTGAAGCTCTGTAACATATGTCTGGTAAACAAGTTTCTCTCATTTCAGAGATGGATACATAATTTTTGTTAAATTAGCAAAAAAGCTCAGCTTTTCAAATTCTTATAAAAATATGAGAAATACAGCATCTGTGGAATGAATATTTTGCGATGTGAACAGTGACTATTTTGAGATATAATCAAGCAAGAAATCTATGTTAAGCAATGAAAGCTGCACAAAATTATTATGCTGTTTTTCGATCTGTCGAAAGTTATTAAGTTTTATTACAAGGTATCAGGCTCTCAGTACTAGGAATTTTGCCTAGACTCGGTGCACTATCTGCCGATCCTAAATTCTATTGGGCAGGGCTTTCTAAATTAAAAAAAGAAATTGTTCTCCACTGCCACCACAATTAACTTTTGTTATTATTTTCCAAGAATAATAGAAAAATTTCTTAGTACAATTTATTTTGGCATCACTTATTGCAGTAATGTTATAATTGGGGGTCGTTCGTTGGAGAAAACGGCATTACCCAAAATCCTCATCTCCTTTCTTCTCGCTTAAAAGCAGGAGTGATAATTCGTTATGATTGTTTGTATATTGAATTTGTTCGTACTTTCCTGTTAAATCTGTTATCTGTTAAACATGTATGTGTGCATAATTTTTTTCATGAACTTCTTTATAGCAAAATATTTGCTGAAGGGCTTTATATTTTGCAAGCTATATAATCCCCAAAATAAGGTTTTTATATACAAGGGAGATAATGCCATAAAACAAAAATTTTTCCTAGGAATTAGTCTTGGAGTTATTATAGCAATCGCCATCCTGTTTTTTGTAAATGTTTCATATTGCATAGTGTATACTGCATCATTAATTTCTTGTTCATATTATGAATGTATATGGAATTTAAGTGATAAAGAAGTTTTGAAATTTTCTGAATATAACAGATTGAGTTTAGGATACGGTGCCGCCCTAGCGTATTACAAAAACTATTTGAAACTTTTCATACCACATAAGCTAATAGAGCGAATAAAAATTTTTGAATCGCATCATCATGTTCAAGTTCCTGAAAAACTGTACATATTAGTTCCAAAATCATGTATAGTGCCGTCATATATAAGCAATAATGATTATATTGAGAGGTGTCGCGAATTGCCAGCATACAAAAAAGAAGTAGCTGGAATAGAAGGAAGAGTTTACAATATTACTGTTTATCAAATCAGGGCTGATGAACATGACATTGGATTTCGCTGTGCCCTTGAATATGCCCAGCCGTTAAAAAATCTGTCAGCATATAAAAATGAAAAAATTATAACAGAAGAAGAAATGCAGCATCAACGAGAATTATTCTGTTCATATCTGGTAGATTTTTTAAATGATGAAAATCAGTCTTGTAAATATTGTACAATTTTAACCTTTGATGATGAAAAACAGAAAGTGCATGAAGTTTTACTGGAACAATTTTCAAAAGAGTAATATAATTATAAAACTGACATGTATGGGGAAACTGATAAATACAGTATTGCTTTCACCATTGGATTAACTGGGATTTTGAGTTAACCATAGACCTCAACCAAGCATTACTCTGGCTAATCTAGAGTTGATTGCAATTTTCTATTTCAACTAGAAGTAATGTTATAAAATTTCTGTTATATGTTATTGCCAAATTGCAGAATAAAGTTTTAATTTTATAAAACTAAATAATTTTTTAAACTGTATGATGTAGGTTAGTGCTGCAGTTGCCAAATTGCATTCATGGAATATGTGAGAAAGAATACTGTACAAGAATAGGTTAAAGTGCAGAATCGCCCACATATTTGTTTGGTGCTTTTTGCAAGAGTAAGAATTGGATTTTTGTCAATTTTCTTTGACTTTTTAAGTGAAAATAGGTTGATGTGTACATGGATAGCGAGTATGTGCAATTCTTAAAAACGTGCCAAGCAGTGGGCAATTCTGCACTTTCCCCCAAGAATATATAAAATGCTTATTATTTGATTTCAGAAGTGTCCAAGATGTAGAAATTGGTTTAAGAAAGCACATACCAGGTTTGTATGAATAGCTGTGTTGTGGGCCGAGAGATGAATGACTGGATGTTCACTTTTACAGAGATTTTGAACACCCATTTTATCAGAAAGTTTATTATTATAAACATATATTTTCTGCTTTTATTTCATATATGAAATTTAAATGAAAATCAAACATTTCTTGACAGATTTAATTTATAATATTCTGATCCACATGGTTCAAATTAACTTTTTGCTGTTTTATGATTATTCTAAACTTCAGTTTTATAAATTTTTATTCATTTCTTGTTTTAAATGTCAATCAGTGAAATTTCCCAGAAGTGCAATTTACTTCATTTTCACTTTTTATTTTAAATTTTTGTTATTATTTCGTAACTGACGATTTGGAATTTTGCTGTTGTTGTTTACTTTGAGTAATTGCTTTTATTATTATTTAAGTGAAAATACAATTTAAAAATTTTACAAATATACTCGTATAAAAAAAAAAAATGGTATACCCAAAGGGAGTGTCTGATTATTGGAAAATTAATGTTACTTGTGAAACTTTTGCAGTCATGAACAATGATTAAAAAATGACTGATGTGACAAATATTTATTGTACAACTGGAACTGTTATGGTTCTCAAGATAGACTAATTATTTCTAATGAACATGTCCTATGTCACGGCATGGACTTATTGATGTCCTTAATAGTCATGTGTTAGCCTATCCCATGTAAATAGAATTGTGTGAACTTATCTGTGTGGATTTTGTGGTGGCAGCAGCTTTAAAAAGTAACCTATAGCATTTAGAAGTTTTCCATTGCGGATTAGTCTGGCAGTGAAGTTTGCTACAGCAGAGCATTTATGATTGTACGGAAAGTTTTTTAAATGCCAGCTTTATGAAGATATTTGGGTCTTCTAGAAACAAAGTGCTGGGAGGAGGCATTCACAGTGGCAGGAACACTGATCAGGTCTCATTATTACCATTGTGCTGTCAAAGAGATAAAGTCCAACAACAATAAGGAGTCCTATGAAATCAGCTTCCATACTATGACAGCCATCCATCTAAACATGTGATGATTATGTTACTATTCAGCAAGGCTTTCTTACAGTCTGTATTCATATAGTACAATGGCAGGCAGCTATCTACTAGTAATACTGGCACTTATGAGAAGTTACAGGGAGAGGATCACTGCTTGCTTCAAGTCAACCATATCATATAATTCTACAATCATCCCTCATTGTTTTCTGTGCAAGTCCCTCCCAGCATGCATGTTGGAAATGCACACTTGTTGGAAATCCAGTGCCGCAACCAACATGCATTGGTGACATCTGTGCAACAGGTATGATATCAGTACAATTAAATAAACACCTGCAATTCATGCAATCCTAATGATGCAACCTTTCTTGAATGTGTCCAGTTATTGAAATTGCTGTTGAATTTGTCCCCAAAGCATAATATGCTTTAACCCTTTGCGGCACAGTGTGTCTGGTCTAGACACACCTAAAAATTTCCTCTGTATGCACAGAAAAATTGAATGAAAAAGGATTTATAGGTTACTCTGAACCTTCTTTATTTATAGTAGATGGCAGCTCAACACACCAGTCCATATATTTTAGCCATGTTTAGTTTTTTAAGACCCTCATTTTTCAAAGAAACCTTCCAGATTTTTTTTAGGGTATAAAAGGAATTCTTTGAAAAGGAATTTCTATGTTATTTTTTTGGCTGTATGCTTATCTCCTTATTCTATATTAGTTTTAAATTTTTACTTTGAAATCTTGCCTAAAATCAAACGGCGAACCCTAGGTGTGCCCAAACCGGGCTCACCGATAATCTAGGACAACAGAGTCTGTATTCTTTGTTTCTCCGCATCTTATCGGTCAGTTCATTGACAACAATGCTCGTTTCAGCACTCTTTTCGAAGCTCTATTCTTACGAATTAGAACGTTTTCTGAACCACCTTATTCTTGTCCCCTTCGAAAACAACTAAATAGAGCTAATTAAGATTAATTTGTTGTATTTGTTTTTAATAATTCAAAGTTATTTATACTTTAAATAATCCTTATGTTATTAAATAAAAAATAAATCTTGGTATTGACATTAATGAGCTTGCGAATTCTTGTACAACTGTTTTACATATAATAATTTAACAGTGAGATTGGCATATGCATCGATTTCTGTCCATTGTTGTTAGAGTTAGTAATGAAAACCCTTTCTTACACTAATATGTAGAAACAGAAAGAATTATAATATTTTTAAAGTACAATTGTACAGTTCCCCATATTCCACTTTGACTGGCAGTAAGCTAAAGAAATAACCACACCTTCTGCTTGGAATTTCATATTAAGTCTGATGCATTTAATTAACTATTCTCTTTCCTTCAATCATAGTTAACAGGTTATTATCAGAATCACAGTGGAATGAATCAAGAACCTATATGAAAATGCCTTATATTTACCACTTGGAAAATAAGTTCTAAATTGAAACTTCAGAGTTTCAACATGCAAACATAGGTCACTATATCTTTTCCAATAATGACATAATTTTCTACTAAAAATGATCCTAAGATTGGAAATGGTGCAGAATTTATCTGTTTTATACAATTAACCTGTGAACCAAGTTCTCTCTCAAATTTCTTTAATTTCACATGGCTTGAAAAAAGTCAAAGAATTACCTTGTAGACAGAGATTTAGTTTATTTGGTTTTAAGAATGAATGAAATTATATGAAAGGTATGCCAGTGTCACCAACAGCTACAAGAAATGATATAAAAATTTCATTTACAGGACATTTTTGCTAATCTATGAGGACTATATTTTGAGGAATGCTGGTTTAAACTACTAGTCAAAATAAAAATTGCACATAAGGATGTACATTTATAGTATGGAAAACACAGTAAAGACAAGTGCAAAATTTTAATGATTTGATAGTAAGAGAGAGTGACATACTTGATTTTATTTAAATAGATTGCTTCCTTTAGGCTGAATTATTTTTTTAAAATTTTAAATGATGAGTATATTTTGGCCAATTTTTAATTACCAAACATGTCATCAAAATGCATGCTTTACTGAATTTCTGCTTTAAAATACATTTGCATTGTCATTTTCTCCCCTTATTTATTTAGTTCATATTGACAAAAAGAACATACCTTTTTGCATGAATTGTCTTAAAAGTGTGAAAACAATTTGTAAATAACTAATAAACAAATTATAAATGAATAGAATTTAGATAAGTAAATGCATACAAATTAAAGTTCTGCATATATCTATTTGTTCATTATTTTGTATTTTCATTGCAAGAATCGATCATTTAGGGACTTGGAAAATAACATTTTAAAATTCTGGAAAATTGTCAAGTGATGCTGCATCATCGGATAGTGTACAAACCCTTTTTTTTTTTAAATCAGTATGTTTTTGAGCTCTTACATAATCTTGATGGAACATTTCCTTTTTGTGCCGGAAATTTTTGATGTTTTCTTTGATAGCAGTGTCAGCATAGACTAGCATCTCGCTGTACACCTTACTGTTGAGGGTTTTACCTTTTTTCAGATACTTTTTATAGATAACACCATGACAATTTCACCAGATACAAAGCAGACCAACCCCTTTTTTGGCCTGTGTTGTTGAAATAACTCCACTTTTCATCACACTTGACGATCTGGTCCAGATCTTTTGATATTTGAGTAGATTAGTACAGGCCCGACCACGTCTGTCCTTATCTGTTTGATTTAGCTCATGCGGCACCTAGCAATTGAACTTGTATGTCGAGTTTATTCGGTGCATAGCACGACTAGTGGCATGGCAATTATCGATGTCTTAACTCCTTAGCAAGGTCTCGAATGGTTGCATACTGATCATCTTCCACAAGTTCTCGAAGGCTGGCCAGAGCACTTTGCTTCTTGAATGTCATAATCCTTGTTTTTCAACTTTCGGTATTAAATCTTCATAGTGACATATGATACAACACTAGTACCTAAAGCTATATACATGATTTTGAAACAGAACTGGAAGTAAATGATGATTCTAATATGGTAGCGTGACAGTTCCATTTCAGACATCTTGTACTTGATGATAGTGATATTTTTTTTTTTTACAAATTTCACAACACAGTGTTCTAAAGGAAGTCTTTTTCTTTCAAATGCCAAAAATTGTTTGACAAAATATGATTAAAAAAGCCAACATAAACTGTTTGTACAGACAATATTTGTGGGTGGTGGGAAACTTTCATTAAAACCCAGTATGATGTGATATTACTGTTACTGTATAATATATTTTGTGTGTGTGTGTGTGATTAAGCTATAATGAGTCAATAGGAGAAATAGACAATGCATTTGAAATATGCATGAGTTGACACTGAGGAATTAGATAACAGATGTATTACTGGAATAAAATTCATTAAATAACAATTGTATGCAATTTATAAATATTTAATTTATTATAATTTAGACTTTAACAACCAATTACATTTTTATAAATTCTTAGGCAGATATTTTGAAAGCAGTAAAATTATTTATTCGATTTAAAAGACAGTATAAATTTGTTTTTGTGTTTCTTCACAGTGTCAGAAAGGTAGAAAAGGTTTAAAAAATATTTCAGCTAAAAAAAAATTTGCATTTAATTTGTTCTATAATTTTCTTTTTGATGCAAACTTTATGAATTAAACTATTTCAAATAATGTTTCTAATTGTCATTAAATTCATAACAAATTAAGTTTCTTGAAATGCAAATATCTGTTTTTAAGAGGTATAACATATAAATATTGAATTTTAAATATTTTATAAATTAATATAATCTTGAATATTGGCCTAGATCTGCATAAAATTAGTAAAATTGTTACATACTCCACTGGTTTGGTGTACGAACTCCAATGCTAAATTTGAATTATGGTTTAGTCCTATTCAGATGCTTGTAGAGATAAACTGAATGAATTTATTTGTACAATAACTCATTTATTATAAACAAAGATTCTGGACCTACTTTTTGTGAAGCTCAGGGTTCAAGCTACACTGATGTTACAGTTATTGGTTCAGATCTTCTCAAGGATATTTCGATTTGGTGTCTGTCTGATCATATGATGACAGAATTAGAATTTTGTTTCTCTATGGTCTCACGAGACACTTCAAACGTTCCATTTAAAATCTTCAAACCCATTTACGTAAATTTGGTTGTTTTCGGGAGTTTTGCTCTTCTCATGTTACTCATATCTGATATTTTTAACAGTTGTACTAGTGGTTCTTGCCTAAATAAAACTGTCCTTTCCCAAGTATCTTTATTTTCAGTGCCTGTTAAGAATCATGGCATGCATAATGTTCCTTGGAGGGGATTTCCATCAAGACTCAGTTTCTGAAATTACTCTTCGGAAAATTATTATTAATGATCTCCTATCAAAGGATAAAAATAGCATTGCAGATGATATCTTGGTTTTCTTCCAGAGTAGGGATCTTCCTGCTATGTTTTGGTTATGATTGCATTTTTGCCTCCATCAGAAAGAAATGCTGTTAATGTTATTTAATTTAGAAATAAAATGGATGATTTCCTTGTAACTTGCTATACTGATGGCAAAGTTAGTTTTGCATTTATTGTCTTTAGAAGTGGTCATGAATTTGAGCACTTTCAATTTAAAATTCAAGATGAATGCAAGGTTTTTATAGCTGAACTTTTGTGTTCAAATTTTGCTGTCAAATGGATCACTGAATAAAATAGTGCTGTTTCAGACTTTCTCATTTGTATTGATTCTCTTTCATCCGTGGAGATCCTAAAATGTACTCCTTCTTCTGATAACATACTTGAAGAGATTTCAAGACAACTTAAAAAACAAAAAGATGAAAACATTTCAGTTTCTTTTATGTTTGTTCATAAACATATGGGTGTTTATGTACACGAATGAAATTATTGTGGACCCACAGAATCATGAATACATTAGTTCAAGAGATTTTTCCCTTCCATCAAAATGAAATTATGTCAACTTTTTTTTACAAGTTATAAAATGACCCACTTCCTTACTGGCGATGGAAACTTTAAAAGTTATTTGAGTACATTTAAGTTGGGTCCAGATACCTTTTGTGATTACAGCTAATGTGGCAAAGTGTGTTTCAAATTTGACTGTTAAAGAAAGATATTAAAACTGGCACTTAAAAATATTAATAGTAATTGGCCTCCTGATTTCCATCAGTTTATTTCTGAAATGCCCTTAAAAGATTAAAAAAATTTTTCCCCCCCTTTACTGCTTATTTTTCTGTATTGTGTTTCAGTTCTGTCATATTTTTGTTGACATCAGTATAGATACACACCAGTATATACTAATAGACTAAACAGGAATATTCAAAGATACTATAAGTTTCAAGAATGTGACTTTTTATTTACAAGTAAAAATATGGGACACAATTATAACATACAGAAAAATTAAGATCTGAACTGTTGAGAAAGTAAAATATTTACTTTAAAATTAAAAGAACTTTCAACCATTTACTGTTTGCAGAAGTCTTAAAATTGTTAATCACTGTCAATTCAGCATGCTAATAATCAGAATTTGCTGAGAGATTTAACACTTGAAATGTATCGAGCAAAGTAGCATGGTAATATTTTACAGAATTAACATGTTTGCTGCCACAGTTGATACGATGCATCTGTTCACAAACACCACGATTCTGCACGTTTAAGCTTTTAAGTTATTTTCTTTTGTTTTTATTATTTAAATATAGATTACTTTTTACAAGTATACTCATGTTTGGCATATGGAACAGTTTTGCTCCTTGTGCCAACTACGCGATAACTCAAAACTAGATACGCAATACTCATCTGTTCTCTGCATTGATGTAAAACTCCTGCACATGTAATATGTTATTTTCCATTATTCTGAATAAGAATTCAAGCAGTTTGTCTATAGCATTTTTAGAAATAAAAGATCCATTTCAGTATGTGAAGCACATAAACATTACATGCATTTGCTATAGCAATACTAGTACTCGGTGATTTAGGTAAGGTGACCAATAATGATTTACTTTTTAGTGGGCAAGTAAACTCAGCTTGCCAGCTACACAAGTATTGTCATAGATGACAATGAACATGTTAAGGAAAGCTGTCACACTCATGTATAGGAGAGTTTGTTGTGATGAGACTTCAGTGATATCAGAATGGTTTTCATGTACACTCCAGTGCAAAATTTGATTTACAATGCTACATATATCTGCTGTAGTAAGGCAAGTAAACTCTGCTAACTGTGGGCAATTTCATAAATTGCAGCAAATGTAAATCAGAAATAGTGAATTTAAATATTTTACATTTTAAATAGATGAAAAAAATTACATTTCAATAACATATAATAATTATAAAGAACTTGAGTTTGAAATTTTAAAAAATACAAAAATAATTTAAAGTATTTTTACAATACTTTGTATCATTCTGTTACTATAATAATACACATTTCCAGAATTTACATATTTCAAGGACTAAATGTACATTGATTTGGCATTTATTCTGTCTCATATATACACACTTTATGAAACTTAATTAACTTAATCACTTTCTTCTGATTTAAGTTTCATTTCTTCATAGAAGCCATTAAAGTCCAATCTGGAAAAATAACACAAACTGTTTAGTCATCAAAATTTTAATATTTTATGCAATTTTTAATGCCATGAGGTGATGAATAAAACTGCATGCAAATATTTTAAATAAATGCTTATTATCAATTCAGTTTTCATTACAAATATTTTAAAGGAGAATATTAAACAAGTGCAGGTAATTATTGTATTTCCTTCTCCATTTTGTTAACTTTATCAAAAAGGAGAAGATTACGCTATATATACTAATCGGGAGGGTTTGAACATAGAAACTGATAGATTCAAATATACATGTGAAAAAATGTATTAAAGGTATTAAATTTTGTTTTCAAAGATGTTGGTTACATTTGATATTTTTGATACTATTGTTTTTATTTATATGATTTATTATGCTATCTATTCACAGACTGAAGTCTACTAAATTAGGGATACCTGCTTAATAACTAGTTGCTGTTTCATTAATCTTGGTAACATCTGCAATGTATCCAATAAGTTTATTGAGAATTGGCCTGCTACACATTTTCTAAAATTTCCAGTAAATCAGTTAAGAATGATGGTAAATGATGACATGCTTTTTCCAGAATACTCAAAAGATATTCATTAAAATTTAAATCTGGACTTCTCAGCAGCGATTTCTGCAGGGAGAATGAAGTTCAAATGGTCTTCAAACTAGGCTGCAGGCAATTGGAATCTTAAGAGCAGTTTTCCTATTCATACACTTCATGTACATTTAGGTAACAAAAAAGCATGAATGCTGAGCAGGTCTGCATAGAGAGCCTATGCCAATTCTGTGCATTGATGATCTAATACAATTAAACAATAGCTTCTATAAGGTTTGCCTAGGTTTAGCCTAGCGTCAACATAGTAACTTAGCCTAGCGTCAACATCCATGCATTTGGAATTTAGACTCACCATTCCATGCCATTTGCTTACAATCACTAATGGTCCATTCATGGTTTTCTGGCCCATGAAGAAAACTAAACATAGCGAGAAATGGTACTCTGATGGATCTTCGGCTTCTTAAGCTCATTAAAAGCAAAAGTGAGTGCTGCACAATCCATTTACTGGTTTGACTGGACCCCTCTTTCAGTTGGGTGAGCATTTGAGCTAAGGTTTTGGTGTCACTGTCTACTCATGATATGACTCTCTTCAAAGATCACAATCATTTAATTTATATTACCATCCATGATTACATGTTCTTTGTATTACTATCGATGTGCTCTACCATAGGTACTTAGGAATTCGAAAATTCCAATTCTCAACCTATTTCTGAAAGTCAATAATCCATACAACGTCTGTTATTTGTCCGCGAGTGAAAACATCTAAATCGTGAGTTTTATCAAACTAACCAGAATGTCAGTGATGATTAGATGATTAAATTCATGATTTTATTCAGTCATTTAAACAAGAAAATAAGTTTCCTTCTTTTATAATAGACTCACATGTAATTTTTACGTTTACTGCTAATGACTACGGAATCTAAGTTCAAACACACCAGGAGGAGAAAAATGTCATTCTGACGAGTTGAGCCTTGAAATGTGGGGAGGGGAGAAAGCTAAACAGTTTTTTGGTTTTCTACAGCAGATTAAAAAACATTGAATAAATTAGAGAGTCTCCTACATTTTCTAAAATCAAAACCTTATAATAACTTATAATGCTTTTACGGAGGTTTTAATTTCTGAATACAAAAAAACAGAAGCTTCGAGTAGAATTGCTTAAAATATTTTAAACAAATCATGACAGTATAATGCAAGAAAATGCATGACTATCATGTTTTTCTAACCTTTAAGTATAAATCTGATAATTAGAACTCTAATTAAAAACCTATGGAGCATGATCTAACTAAATGTATTGCTAAAACAGCACCATATCATGCAGTTTTATAGCATATTTACTTACAACATAAAATTAAAACAGCATCAAGCAGGTAATTTTTTTTATGTTGCATATGCATTATTTCATAATGTATAAAACCCTCATTTAATAAAATTAATGAAAATGCTGCATCCTGGATATAAGTCACATTTTAAAATGAATTTAGTAGTTAATCATTGAATTATACATATGAAGAATAAACAGAAAAATACAGTAATGCTTTAGTTAAATAATATGTGTGATGCTAGATGATTGGTCTTATAAAATCACAATCAACAAATAATTTACATACATGTTTGTACAATAGATAGAACTGCATATTTACTGAATTTTACTGATACATTTTTAACACCACGTACAAGTGAAAAATTTACTTTTTCTTTATGCTAATACCATTTTAAAAGTTAGAAAAAAATAGTTTTCTAGTCAATAATGCAGCAAATATGGCAACTGCATTTAGTGTTGTTTGAAATGAGAATAACTGATTTGTTATTCATATAAGCTAAAAGTTACTGCCACAGCTGGTACAACCGCAATGGGCGGCAGAATTTAGGAAGCGAATATTTTAGGATTTAGAGAAGCACCAAGCAACAGGATTCAAGGAGATCAATCAAGCAATTATGAGAGCTCTGTACCTCCTGAGATGCCACCGTTGCTGAGAATAATAATCATCTACAATTGCTGTAGAAAGTCTTATTATTGAAATAAAGCAGCTCTATTCTCACAAGAGTTATTTCATTGAGATGAAATTTCCAGAGCCAGCCAGAGCCCTTACTACTTTATTTAAGCGGGGGAAAAAAAAAAAAAAAAAAACCTCACATTTTTACTTTGCATTCATTTCATGGGCCTCACATGTTTAGCTGGTACCTATAACATCTTGTACAATTAGACCAGTCGGATTCCCTTAGTCCGTGCCAGTTCTGAGTCGGCTGTTAGTTGCCCGCCGAAACGGTCGCTCCGAGCTTTCTGCCCGGTGCGCCGCGCAGCTGAGGCATTCCACGGGAAGGCCCCGACGCTGGTCCGGGCCGGACCGGACCGCTTTCACGGCCAGTCTCGCCCAGTCCCGGTGCAGTGCCACACCCGCTTCGGACCCCAGCCCGACGGGCCCAGTCCTCAGAGCCAATCCTTGTCCCGAAGTTACGGATCGAACTTGCCGACTTCCCTTACCTACATTGTTCTATCGACTAGAGGCTGTTCACCTTGGAGACCTGCTGCGGATATGGGTACGGTCTGGCACGAAAATCATAATCTCTCCCTCGGATTTGCAAGGGTCGACAGGAGCGTATCTGCTGAAAAAAAAAAAAAAAAAAAAAATTAAAAACCATTCCCAAAAATGTAAATATATCCCCAAAGTGTAATTTAAAACGCTAACAAAATTGAAAAATGTTCTGATGTTCTTTGCTTCTATTTTTGAAACGAAAAGCATTTAATCAATTTTTTCTTACCACCATCTTGGAGTAAATACAGCAGCAACGAGTATATCCCCTCCAGGGAATCAAAAAACCAGTATTTCTCCTCCTTCTCAGAAGATGAAAAATGTATATGGAGAAATTTTGGAGCAGGACCAGGTTTGTGACAAGACATTGTGATTTTGTATGAGTGGGAGGAAAGACAAGAGTCGTTCCCCCACTCATACACAGAAAGAAAATTATTCCATATTTCTTTATGGAACCAAAGGACTGGGAATTTCTGGTATGTGTGGTACAACATGCTGTTCCCAAAGCCCAGTGCAGTATGAAAGGAAAATATCTGAGGATTTATATTGAATCTGATGACAAATATCATCCTTTAATTTGAAACAAGATTGGCTGGTGAAAGTCATTATTCCTGGCTTCCTGGTCAAAATTCATTCTGAAAGAATTCAATGAGCTAATCTTGATGGCTTATTCTGTAATATTCATAAAATTACCTGTGTTAGAAGTACTGGCACCCTACGCCTTTGTTCCTGGCACAACTTAATCTGACCATAACCATATTTTACATCTACAAATAGATTTTCATGATGGGACTGGATATCATCATGGAGAAGCATAAAGGCAAAAAAGTATGCAACCAGTGTTGGAGAATCGTGGCAATAAAAACAAATATCTCCAAACACTAAATCTGAACTTCCAGGGAGCTAGAAAACCAAAATTTCTTCTCACTCCTGGTCCATTTAGTTGCACGGTCCCCCTTTACTTGGGGTAGCTTCCGAGCGTACTAATCCTCCTGCCACAGCTGTAGATGGCAATTCCTGTATAGTCGTACTGAGGAGTATATCTCAGAATAGACAAAAGCATCCAGCTCCATGCATTCCAGAATGCTCTACCTAGGCTCTGTACTGTTTCCATGAGGCCTGACAGAGCATTTTACATCTACGAGAGTGAGACTGTGCTCTCACAAACTAAGGCCTAACATTCAACTGTATCAGAGGAGATCATCTTAATGGCTTCTGGAATGTGAATGGTGTTAAAAAAATTTCACTTTGGGATTATATCAGTGAGTACTACTTAGACCTCTTCCTCTTTCAGAAGACAAATCTATTAGAGGAATGTAGTGTGAATATTCCTCATTATATCTGCTACTGCAATGACAAAACAGCTAGCAGCAGTGATGTTATTTGCACTAGTGGTGGTACTTGCATTAATGTAAAACGTGCTGTCAAACATAGTAGAATTCCAGTTCTCAAACTAGAGGCTTTAGAAGCAACGATCGTCCAAATTTATGTTCTTGATTCACCCCCTTACAGCAGTAGCAGCTTGCTATATGCCTTCAAGACAGGAATCTCTCTTTATTCCTGACCTCAAAAAACTCAACTCAATGACGTACACAACCACCAAGGGTTGATCTTGCACTTTATGCAGATGACACAGCCATCATCTGACAGCACTCTTCACTACACCTTACTCTTTCATATCTCCAGATTTAAAATGCTTGCTCATTAACTGGAAAATCAAAATTAATATCATCAAGTCTGCCGCTACTGTGTTCTTCAGAAAGAGCCAACACCAACCACTCAAGTTCTATGAAGAAGATGTATCTTGGGTGGAATCATACAAGTACTTGGGAGTGCATCTGGATGTGAAACTACTCTGGGGACTATATCAGTTATGCAGTATTTAAAGCGAGAACTGTCTGTCCGCACTCAACTTCTGAACCTGATTTCTGGCCTAGTCATTTATCTCTGAATAATAACCTCCTACTGTACTCAAGCACAATGTGCCTTATCTTCACCTATGCTGCACCCATCTGATCAACTGCTGCAAACACCTATATAAAGGAAATTCAAATCTTCCAGATAGTGATGCTTTAGATCTTCTCAAATGCTTACTGGATGTTTGAAATAAAGACTTCCAAATTTTCATTGTGACTTCGAAATTCAGCTTCTAGATACATATTTCCAGGAAAATTCTTTCAATATTCACGCAAGACAGGGTTATATAAGATAAATAACCCTGTCTTGCATTCAATTTCCTATTATGATACTGCAAACTCCTACCTAAAGGAAATTCAGATCTTCCCGAGTGTGAAGCTTCAGATCTTCTCAAATGCTTACTGGTACGTTCAAAATAAAGATTTCCCATTCTGACTTCAAAATTCAGCCCTGACACATATTTCTGGGAAAATTCTTTCAATATTTACAGATAGGTAATCCTGTCTTGCATTCAATATTCTATTATGATCCTGAAAATCTCAGCTCTGCCAAGAAGCCCAGATTTGTCATGAGCAGACTATTTAACATCTCCCCTCTAACATCATCTTTGCTTGATTAGAGTTACTATCAAACTACCAGTACTTCACTAGCTTAACCCGGCAATATCTTAATTTGTTTTATCATTGCTAAAAGTAATCTAAAACATTTCTTGGTAAATTCTCCCTTACTGTAGCATAGAGAACACCTTCACCTTTTACTTTGGCCTCTCCTTTGACATGCCACACCAGAAAATGTTTAATTCAGTTGTTTTTAACTCTCAGTAATTTAATTTTAATGTATCATAATCATGAATTGTTCTTATCCATTAAACTTCTTAATTAAATTTATTCATAACGTATGTTAATTTATTCTTAACTAATTGTCAAGACTTAACTTTTTGAATTTTTATTTTAAAACTGCATTCTAATCTTATTTAGCTTTCTTAAATTCCTAATTTAATACACTCATTCAGAACTCACTTTATTCACAGAACTGTGAACTGACATCTTCCTGCAACTCTTCCAGTTCTAGTTTCTTTCACTTTAGTATCAATGAACCATTCCTTTTCAAAAGACCACTAACTAAGGCTGTTGATGAAACCACATGCGATAGAAGCAAGAAAAAATTTAGAAGAACAACATAACTTTAGTTGCTTATCTCATGATATCTGGTTGTAAGGATAGTTTTGCACCAAAAAGCATTCTTAATAAAGTTAGGTGGGGAACCATGAAAGCAGTACCTTGAGTGTAGGTAGTAATAACCACCCAAATCCTATGATTTTCTACCAACATTTTGGTAGTTAGACTTCGGCCCAGAAATTTGGTGGCTGCAAGTCGAAAAACAGGTCAACCTCATTTTGGACATCCTGTGCAGAATAGAAGATAACACCAGCAAGATGTAGCTGCAGGTGTGAAAAAAAATGGCAGAAGTCAAACAGAGCGATGTTTGGGCTATATAGTGAGTGTGGGGAAAGATCACATTTGAGTCCATACAGAGTTCAGGCTGGTGAATGCAGACACACATGGTCTTGCATTATCTTGATGAAACAGTACCTTCTTGCACCGGAACTCAGTTCGATGTTCTTCCTTGATAGCAGTGTAAACAGGGACCAGCATCTTGCTGTACACCTTACTGTCGAGGGTTTTACCTTTTTCCAGATACTGTTTGTGAATAATAGCACATAAATCCCACCAGATACAAAGCATGATCTTTTTTGTTAGTCAAGTGTAAACAGGGACCAGCATCTTGCTGTACACCTTACTGTCGAGGGTTTTACCTTTTTCCAGATACTGTTTGTGAATAATAGCACATAAATCCCACCAGATACAAAGCATGATCTTTTTGTTAGTCAATGTGCACTTTGTGAAGCTGCCGATAGGCTCACTGGGCGCAGATCAACCCCCTCTTCACCCTATCTTGTTGAAGTAAATCCACTTTCATCACAATTGATGATCCAGCCCAGAATTTTTCCATTGCATTGATATTTGAGCAGATTAGTGCAGGCCCTAATATGTCTGCCCTTATCTGCTTGAGTCAGACCATGCAGCAGCCAGAAAGTGAAGAATGCCATGCTCTCAGTGCTAAACAACGTGTTAAAAGGCAGGACAACTTCATGTTTAGGAAAAATGTTAAAAGCATAATTCTTTGCAAAGGATTCAAATTTGAAAATGAAAAAGATACAAAATTCATAGTATCATCTGGTTCAGAATTAGTCTTAAAAATTTTTAATTAACTTATGGAAAGTTACAAATTATTGGTTTAAAATTCTCAAAACAGAGCTCAAAATTCATCTATACCTGCACTGACATACAGGAAGTGCAAATAAAATATTTTTCAATATATGCCACTGGCAGAAATTCATGCATAGTTTTTCAGATTTATAAAAGTGTTTTGAGACATCTTTAAGCATTAACAAATCTGATTTTGAACAGAAACACAAGCTTATATTAATAACTTAATGATAGGAAAGTGCAACGATTGTTTGAAAATTTCAATGCCCATTTAGTTAGTGCCTATCAGTCCCATCCAAAGGATATTTACTATATCACTATTGTAAGAATAGGATACAGTGAGTGAAAACAATCTTCAAAAAGGAGGCCGACAAGTTCCAAAAGAATGGGAATGTTGTACATTTAAAATTAAGTTTTCAGTCATGTTTTGGGCACAATTCATTACATCTACATTTAATCAAAACTGAAATTTAAAACATTAATATATATATATATATAAATTGAAATAAAATATATTCCATATTGCAGCTATATGATTAAATTTAGCCAAACACCATTCACCTATCACTAGAAAACATACACATACCTGTAAGACATATTAATTATTCTGGAGGTTTGCTTTTTTTGGTGAACATTGTGCAAGATATTCAACATGCTAATGATGCCTTCATCAAATTTTTTCTGAAAAGTTTCAACTTGCTGTTGAAAATTTTCTAGTGCTGCCGGATAACTTGATACCTAATGAAGATTAACATGCACATCAGATGTTAAGAAAAATACTAATTGTATCATTTAGAAAAACTTACGAATATTAAAAATTGAAATAAGCTTATATAAAACGTAATTTTTTAGGGTTCTTACTAAAATTTAGTTTCTAATTTCTAAGATCTTCATCGATCAAACATATTAATTTCCCTGACCAAACATAATGGAGTAGTTATTAAATTAAATAAGAGCAAATGAATAGTTTTAGAAATATGGGGTGTCAAGGTAAAAAATGATGAATAAGAATGACACATATATCTGAATTCAGTGCATTTATCACATTGTGGTTAAAATTGTGTCACATTGTGGTTCAGTTAAAATGAAGTAGTTTCAGAATATCTATATTCACTATTTGCAGCTCAGGCTATGTTTAGATCATTGTTTGTCAACCGCCGGTCCGCGAAATACCCAGCTATCTGTCCAAAAATTGTGCCAATAGGTCGAATTATTAAACTTACAGGTCCACGAGAACGTACCGAAATATTTTACCGGTCCTTGGAGTAAATCCAGTTGAGAAACACTGGTCTAGATGACACTCATTTCCCATGTTTGAAAGTATCACTAATGAGAGCAGGCCTTATAACCTATGCAACCTGGGTCCAAAAATCAGCAATAGCAGCTACAGACATTCAATATATTCTTTCCAAAGAAACCGCCATAGAAAAAAATCTAAAGGGATCAAGTCAGGCAAACATCAAGAAGAGAAATCTAAAGGAGTTAAGTCTGCTCCGGACCAGTCTTTCTGGTAAAAAAATCATTTATTTCTTCTTTTCTGCTAGATTAACCACAATGCAATTAAGACATTAATTTAAAAATACATGTTGCTCTTTTTTAACACTTTTTTCAGAGACACACTATATACATACATGTGTGGTGTGTGGATATATAATATACTAATTTAATTTCCAAAGCCCCTTAGCACTTCTAATTTAATTCCCCTTCTAGCCTATAAACATTAACTGCTAATAAATCTCTAAATTTAATAATTTCAAAATTAACTGCTGTCATGATTCTTACATATTTCTAATAACATAGGTCATTACATGACACAAACTGCAAAACCATTTTTTTTTTCTTTTTTCTATAATATTCACATAAAATTTTGACTTGCACTATCACTTAGAACAATAATAAAAATCTACAAACAACTCTGCTTATTCCCCCCGCCTCTTATTTAGATTTAGCAATTTTACCTGTTCATGGTATCAGGAGACTGATCAAAATCTCTAAATGGCAGCTTTTGTTTTTTTTTAAAGAAAGTTTATGATTTATCAGCTGGTTTAAAATTTAACATTTATGTATGCGAAGCTCTAAACTTGTTCTAATCTAGAAATGGATTTTTTTTGTGTTTTAAAATAGACAGTATTACAGATTTTGTACATATGTAAATAATTTTAATGAAATTATATGCTTTAGTGATATAATGCTTAATATTTTCTTTAAGGAATACTGGTCACTTTCAGCAGCGGTCACCAGGAGAACGTTCACTGCATTCTAATAGCAAAGGAACTTTTTAAAAAAATTTTAAAAACAGTATTTGCTTAAATTATGTGCATTAAAACTTTAATGAGAAGATTATTTCAGAATTTTAAATCAAAAATAAAATTTACCTCTGCAAAAGGTTCCTCATTCATAGAAAACAGCATACTGTCAGGCATCACAGATATGTCCATAGAACATCTCATGATTCCCTAAAAGAAAAAGCATACATCAATTAAATACATAAATGATGCCCAAATTAGATAAACTTCTAAAATAATTACTTTGAAAATAAAAATGTTTTACTCAATACTGATTTGAAATAAAGTATTTACAGCAGAATTAGAATTTTGAAAACATGCACTACATTTCATAAAATACTGCATATGCCCTCTTCATAAAGATCTAAACTGCAGTTGTCTGAACATATTTTTCTTCTTGATGAAAATATATTTCAAAAATTTTAAATTGCAGATATACTGGAGAAAAACACATTGAACAAAATTTTTATGTCTGTAGAAAAGCATTTTTTTATACCTCACAGCACAGTTTACAAATAATTTGACAGCTATACTATTATTCAATAAGGAGATTTCCCTCTTTTTTCATTTGCATGGATTGATATTATTTTTTTACCTAAAAATTTCAATTAAAGTTGCAAATTGTGAAAAAAATTAAGAAAAGAAAAAATGTAAGAAGTTCATAGAGAATAATATTTTTATGATCACGTAGCATAATGTAAAAAAATAAGATCCTTCCTTCAGGTGTAACTTTGAAAAATTTGCAATGACTATATAATTACATCACCTTTTTTATAATAATATGTAACAGTATATATGGTATAGGTATTACACTTTCAGTTTTCCTTATCATATTCAGAAAGATTATTTGAACTTATTCTTGGGAGAACAATTAAAATTTTAAGAATAAAAAATATATTCATAGACTTCAAATAATTCTTAAGAACAAAATGTCAGTCACATTTTTCACATTCACCATAATGGAACTTAATGAAACTCTATTGACTTAGTGACCAACACTTTAGATAAAATCTTTAAATTACCTGTAAAAAGTTTGAAAAATCAGCACATAATTTCATTAGCATTTCTAATAATTGAAGAAGATTGGGATTTGTAAGCATGCAGTCATCAACACAATTATCAAGGAAATCCTGATGGCATAAGAGTACTTCATCTACATTTGTGACCTAAAAAGAATAAGGTTCTAATCAGGATTTTTTAATTTTCAAAATAAATTAGAAATAAAACTTCAGTAACAAATATTTTAATGTATTCTTTTGAATTCTGTTTAATACATATGTACTATAACAGTGATTGGGAAACTGTGGCTTGTGAGCCCAGTGTGGCTCTTCCACAAAATAGTACATTGCGGGTGTGCCCGTGTAAAAGAAAGAAAATCTTACAAAGCTCATCAAATTTAAAAAAAGCATGAAAAACACTGAAAACATCTAGGAAATTTTTTCGTACTGATTTTGGGGTTTTAATTGTACTGATTATACATCAAATTGTGCTGTTGTAGTGCTAAATTTTAACTAATGAAATGCTTTGAATTACTACACCATTGTTAACTTGGCAATGTTAACTTAAATGAGAACCTAATAACATAAAAATGAAATGCAGTTTCAAAATATCAGGATTTTTAGCTTCTAGACCTTTTAAATTTGAAGTGTTTTCCAGTTTCTGAAATAAAAATTTTCCTAGCAACTTAATTTAGGCAGCATAAACTACATAGACAATGTTTGGATTGCACATAATATGAAAAAGCTTTATACTGGAATGTCTAAAAACTAAAAACCAGGGCTGTGGAGTCGGTAAGGAAAATGACCTACTCAGACTCCTGGAATTTTAAAGACTCCAAAGACTCCAACTCCCTAATATATATATATGTAAACATATACACATGGGTTACAGCTTATTTTTTTAATATGGAAGAAGTAATAAATGCTACAGGAAAAAAAAAAAAAAAAAAAAAAAAAAAAAAAAAAAAAAGGAAAGAAAGATGGCATAGCAAATTATTTATATTAGCATTTATTATGAAATAGAAAAACTGGCATTATTTATTTCTAAGAAACAGTATAGCTTCAGCAAGACCCCCTTTGTTGGAGGGCCATAGATCTGATTTGATAAACTTCAGAGTTGAGAAGAGTCTTTCCACACTAACCTGAGTAGGAGGAAGAGCTGTTACTGTTAGGGCTACTTCTTTTAACTTTTCAGGATAGATTCTTTTAAGTTCTAAAACAGGTGTCTTGCAAGCACAATCATGTTTCTCTATTTTTCAAAGGCCATGTAGAAATCTTGTTTGTATTTTTTCACTTTTATATCTAAGGGCTCTTGGTTCTTTATTTTCATTTGCTTTGCCTTTTCAATACTAACCAAAAATATTTCTGAAATATAATCCAAAATCTAATTAATCACTGGAAGAAAGGATGATAGAGACTCAATTGCAATGTCTGCAGTTTGACTGTCCTGATTCGAATTCTCCAATTGTTCTGAGAATAATTTCATTCTTAATGAAAGTTCATAGATGGCTTTCTTTGCCTTTTTAATTAAACATGTCTTAATTTTGTCATCCAACAAAATTCGGTGTTTCAGGATCAACATATATTGAACCCAGCAAGATCTCATTGTCTAGCAAACTAGTTTCTCTTTTCTTCATTGAAGAAATGATTCCTTCTGCAATAAACCCTCCATTTCAGAAAGAACAAACATTCCATTTTTCATTCTTCCATTCTCGCTCCTGTCTTTTAATTCTTCAGACTGTAGCCTTTTTTGTGGCTGTATACGGTGTAGCAAAGAAGAGTTTCCAATTCTACAAGATCATTCCACAGTCTTTCTGTTAGTGAAACATAGGGTTATATCTACATCTTTTAAAAAAGTTCTTAATTCTAACAACCTCTATATCATCAAATATGTACTTCCTTATTGCGTTGCTAGATCAGTAATTGCTCTTTTTCCTGCTCACTTCCTAAGAATAGCATCAATTTTGGGAGTTCTTGCTGTTATTGCTGCTTACCTAAATTTACCAGCGAGATCTGTAACTAAATGAATCAGTTTAATCACTAATGACAAATATTACATCCATCCTCCTCCCTATATTTATTTATTAATATGTCAATAAAATAAAAAATAACTATGTATTAATGTATATAGTCCATAAATAAAAATAATAACCCAGCTTGTCATTAATTTTTTCATTTCAAACTGTCCAACAAAAACTGGAGTTAGAGTCGACCCGTTTTTAGCGACTCCTTATACTCCAAAATCTGCCTGATTCTGACTTACAGCCCTGTTTATTATTATTTGTTTCACTTCTTATTCTGTATATGAATCATAAAAATTATTAATTTTTCAGCTTAAAGTATGATTTGGAAGACTGCTGAGCATGTTTTTTTTTAAAAATAATTTTTTGATTATGTCTGTGCAGCTAACTCTTATTTTTTGGGGGGGGAGGATTATTGTCATAATTTAGCAAAGGTGAGTTTGTTTGGTTATAGTAACAATTATTGTTTCAACCACTTCTGGCCTGAGGCTACATGCAGCCCCCTACATCTTTTTCTATACTCCATGAGAAGCTTACAATACGAGTACCCTAATTAAAAGAATAACAATATACCTACCTGTATAATTTTAAGTTTAAAAAACATGGTTTTCAAACGAGATTTTAATCATCTAACTGTTGATAATTGGCTCCTGTTGACTAAGTTTGCTGATCACTATACTATTACCAAACAAAATAAATTAAAAATTACCTATCATATTAAAAACATTATATCTCACTTATAGATCAAAAATCAAAATCACAATTAAAAAGGTTTTTTGATAAATAGGATGATTTGAGTCAAAATTTACCGGTAATAATAATAAATTAAAAAAGTATATGAACATAAATTGGTTGTAGTTTTGTTGAATCAAAGATTTATTTCAATATAAATTAACATGAAGACAGAAATATAAACAATTCTTTTTTAAAATAATATTTTTACACTTATGGAACTATATGAAAGATTCATACCTGTGACATTTTTTTGAAAAAATCATTCCAATGGGGTTCAATAACTTCAAGAGTTAAATAGTAATCCAAGTTCTGAATGAAATTTAGCATCCTTTGACGAAGGGCAAATGCAGAGGCATAGACACACACTTTTGAAGGAGGGAGAGATTTAGCTCGTTTATTTAAAGACCATACACTGAAATATATTTGATATGGATTATTGAATTTATTACATACATCTTAAAAGAATGGTAATACTCAGAATAAAAAGAGCCACAATGAATTGCAAAAATTACATCTGCAATCACAGGAGTTAGGTATCTGAAAGTGTATTATAAATTAACTGAAAATCAAACTTAGAAGTATAAAAATTATTTTCTTTAAAAGTCTAATACAATGACACCAGATAAAATAATTAGTTAAAATATATTACTAGATATAAGGAAATCAAGTTTAATTGGATACTAAATATTGTTATCTCACAGATTAGGTAAAAATTTTAACCCTCTAACTGACATGTTCCCACCCGTGTGGTGACCGGGTGTGAAAGAATAGTCCCAATGTAGCTAATGCATGTCCTAAAATGGGTACCCAGCATCTGGGGTTATAGCCGGGCACCCTGCCCCTGAGGATTATATCAGGGGACTGGTCCTCCAGGTTGGGGGTTGGGCATGGGGCTAACTACCCCAGCCCATAAAAAAATCTTACTGTTAAGAAATCCAAAGATAGAATTAGTTGGACTGCTTCTACCGGAAAACGACTTGGAAATGGCCTAAGGACTTTTCGTTTTGGAACCTGGAATGTCCTAACACTGTACTACAGTAGGGGACTGCAATTTCTTATAGAAGAATTTGACAAATATAATATGGATCTACTTGCCATTCAGGAAATGTAATGGCTTGGGGAAGGTACCATTGAGAAAAGAAACCACACGGTTTACTATAGCTGTGATGTGAAAAAACATGTTTTTAGTACTGGTTTCTTATTGAACAAAAGTTTAAAATACTTAGTAATTGATTTTGTTCCTAAATCATCCCGACTTCTGCAAAATTCGGCTAAGGGGAAAGTTTTTAAATTATATTATTATCAATGGACATGCACCTACAGAGGACAAGGAAGAGGAAAAGAAGGAAATTTTTTATGAGGAGCTTTCTATGTTATACAGATTTTGTCAAGCATGACATTAAAATTGTTATGGGAGATATGAATGCTAAATTGGGTAAAGAGGATGAATTTAGAACAACAACTGAAACAGGAGAAGATCCTTTAAGAAAAGACTTTTTCATGACGACCTATTTAAGGATGTTGAACATCTGAGGGGTCCCAATGAAAGCCATGCTTTCTATCATGAGATTAATCTTGGCTACAAAGATTTTAAGCCTAGAACTACTGCCTGTAGAGACAAAAAAAAAAAAAAACATCACCCTAAATGACAGAAAAGAGGTACTCCACAGGTGGAATGAGCACTTTAATAATTTGTTAAATGACCATACACGGGATCGGTCTTCAACCCACCCAACTACCTCTGTAAACACCAATAGTATCCTGCCACCATCTTTAGCAGAATTTAGAGAAGGAATTAAAAAGCTCAAAAATAACAAGTCCTCAGGCCCTGACTTAATTATTTCAGAACTCATTAAAAGTGCTGCAGGTCAAAACATTGAGGAAATACACCACCTCATCAAATCAGTTTGGAACCAAGAAGTTTTGGAAGATTGGAAACTGAACTTCATCTGTCCTATACATAAAAAAGGAGACATTTTGGAATGTACCAACTACAGGGGAATCAGTCTCCTTTGTGTTTTCGACAAACTATTTTCCAATATACTTTTTAGTAGACTAGTAACTAATACAGAAAATATTGTAGGTGATTACCAATGTGGTTCTGCAAAGGAAGATCTACAACAGAACAAATCTTTAACATTAGGCAAATTTTGGAAAAATCTAATGAATACGGCATTGCAACGCACCACCTTTTTGTTGATTTTAAGACTGCCTACGATTCAATAAACAGAAAATATTTAATTGAAGCTATGAGAGAATTTGCAATACCCGAAAAACTTATAAATTTGGTCACCATTACTCTTATTGAGACAAAACTTAGCATTAAAATCCAGAATAATCTTTCTGAGCCTATTGTTGTTTCAAATGGGCTCAGACAGGGGGTGATGCACTGGCCTGCTTGCTTTTTAACCTTGTCTTCCAAAAAATCATAAAAGACTCCAACATTAATACTCGTGGAACTATCTTTAACAAATCTGTTCAGATTTTTGCATTTGTTGATGATATTGACATAGTTGCACATACTCCCGAGTCACTTAGAGAGGCTTTTACATCTCTAGAGGCTGCAGCAGCAAAATGCATCTAGCAATCAACCAAAATAAAGCTAAATACATGTCATGTGGTAATAACAGCAGTCGCTATTTTGAAATTGGGAATTACAAATTTGAAACTGTTAGCAAATTTAAATATTTAGGATCAGAAGTTAATACTCTCAATGATATAATGCTCGAGATCCGTAGTAGAGTCACAGATGCTAACCGATGTTTTTTTTCGATCTCAACAAATACTTGAAGTCTAACTTCACTAGCAGAAAAACGAAGATTTTAATTTACAAAAGCTTAATCAGACCCATTCTTACATACTCTGCTGAGACCTGGGCAATGACAGAAAAGGCTAAAAGTATCATTTCTGTCTTTGAAAGAAAAATTTTGTGAAGTATTTTTGGGGGCATAAAATGTAACAATATCTGGAGAAGAACTAACTCTGAACTCTATGAATCCTTTAAAGAAATAGATATAGTAAAATATATAAAGATTCAGAGAATTAAATGGGCAGGACACCTGTGCAGAATGGATGAAAATCGAGTAACTAAAAAGATCTTCTCGGCCAGACCATTCGGCACCCGAAAAAGAGAGAGACCTAAACTTAGGTGGCTAGGCTGTTTGCAAACAGACTTAAGAATTTTAAAAATAACCAATTGAATGCCCATGGCCAGGGATACAAGAGCTTGGAATTCAATTCTGAGAAAGCCAAGGGCCCATCCTGGGCTGTCTGGCCATTGAAGAAGAAGAACTGACATGTTCAAGAATACTTTTAATGACACTTCTAAATATTTTGTGTACATGCATCTTAAAATACGCCCAAATAATTGAGGTTATTTAAAAAAGTCCCCTTTCAAAGCATTTTTGGAAATTTTTGGCTTTTTGAATGCTTGAGGGGTTAAAGGAATATCATATAACACACACAAACACAGAAGGGGGGCCATTTTTATTGCAGCCAAAAATTTGGATGCCATTTTCCACAAAGTGTACATTTTGAGCCCTAATTATTTAACCCAATTCTTCAACTCTGAAAGTTATTTTTAACAAAAATATATCAGTTATAATATTAGCTGAAAATAATAAAACACTTACCGTCCTAAGATATTTTCTATGTGTTTGCAATAAAATAAATGACGAAACAGGATCTGGTAGCAAGCCAGTGCCTATATAAAAATATCATAATTAAGAGAAAAAACTTTCCCCTAAAATTATAATTTAGTATTTCAAAAATCTCGTAAATGAGAAAATTTCTTAATTACAAAGTGGTAACTTAGAATAAACTTTTTCATGGCAGAATTATAAGCAAAATTCTTTAACTAACACACTGAAATTTTTATAGCAACCAATACATGAATAACTTAGCAAGTTATAATTTTTTCTTATACATAAATTATTCAATAAAATTCAATACATATCTTATAAAATTCAACAAAATCTATTACATATTGAACATAATCTAAGCCTGCCAAAACTGTGGGTGGCCGCTTTAAGGAAGTTATAATACAAGGTAAAATCTCCTGTAAGGGACGGCTAATTAATCAGTAATACCAAAATAATGACACTTTTGAAAGTTTAAATTTAAATCCAAAACTTAGAGCTATAAGATAAATAAAATAAGAAAAGGGTAACAATATGGAAATTTAAATGTAGAAAACATTTTTGTTACCTTATCCAACCAATAAACTAAGGAATAATCCAGACTATAATGATGAACTACTGATCACTTTTTATGCATAAATGAGTGAACTTTATAGGTAGCATTCATGATTTTTAGAAATAATTTTGAATATAATTCACATCGAAAGATGCTATATTTACTTTGTCTCTTGTTTGGAAAGATAAAAGAATATTACTTTATGTCACTGTTGGCATAACATAAATTGAGGCTTATGATAATGTTCATAAATAACAAAATGAATGATGAAGATTCTCTTGGTTTTAAAACACAACTGCATCCATGACCAATATCAAATTTTTAGTTTAGAGAAAGTTAATATTACGGAAGAGGAAGTGCAAGGCTGAGTTGAGTCAACTTGACGTAGGGAATTTTCTTTACATCAATCCTACCCTGCACCAGAACAAAGACGAGTAAAAGAGGGAGGATGAAGGTAAAACACACAGCAAGAAAGCTATGTAGAAGCTGATGAAGGATTGTAGATTTTCGTAAGATTTGTTGAGAAATGTTTATCTATATGCCAATGATAGATAGATATATGATATTATGAAGCTTTGCTGTATATACAGTGAATTTTTAAAACTATAACGACAATATTGTAAACAAGCAACAATTAGACACTATATGTCATCACACTAAGAAATTCACAACTTTAAACTGGTAACATATATGGCAAATGTGCTTTAAATTTTAAATAATCTGCATACTTTATTATATTATTTATTCATCTGTAAACAATAGGTTATTTAAAAAGGGGGGGAAGCCTTTATACACTGAAATGCCTACATATAGCATCACAAAACATGAACTGGTAAAATCTAGAAATATGTATTGTTATCTGGAAAAATCTCTTAGTGGAATCAGCGAAGTCCTGAAATTGCTGCCGGTCAAGAGAGATTCTATCTACTTATGATAAATTTATTATAAAAATCCAACCTTTAATTTTAGATTATAGCTCTAACATCTCAAAATGTTAAACATATTTAAAAAATTAAAATCACAGATTTTTAAAAAACTACAGTCTAATCTTTGTGTGCTGATTCTTGTTTAATTCATAAAATAATTTTAAGCTAAGAGCTCAACCTATTAGTTTAAGAGAATTACTCTCTCCGGAATTCAAAATATAGAAATCATATACTTAAAACAACTATTAAAAACAATAATGCGAAATAGTAAAAAAACTATAATATTGAAAAAAAAAAAAAAAAAAAAAAAAAAAAAAAAAAAAAAAAAAAAAAAAAAAAACAAAAAAAAAAAAAAAAAAAAAAAAATAAATAAACATTCAGTGCACATTTCACTAGATACTTGTTTAAAAGAGATCTGCAACAAGTATTTCACTTGAATGGTGGTACCTTTATTTCACCAGAATGGTAGATCCACTCAATAGAAACAAACATTTTAAAAAATGGTGTTAAAATAATAATACAAAATAAAAGATATTAAGGTTGAAGAGTGAAAACATTTAGCACTTCTAGATAAATTTATTTTTATTGTGAAATTAAGAATCAGGTGAATAAGGCACGTAAAGTTTGGGTGTAAATTCAAATACACAAAAATAAAAATATTTTGTATGTATTTTAAGAAAAATAATTGACATGAAATAACATTTGTGACAAAATAAATACATCATACATCTCAAACTAATACTGTGTATAAAATCTGATGTTTTCAACATGTCATCAAAAATATATTTTCAAACATGACACAGAAAAAAATATTTAAACAGCCTATATGAATGATAGTCAACTTCCTTATTCTCAAGGGCCAATTTAAGCTGTCCCTTGGCCTAAAGGAACATCATTCGTACCATATTTAGCAAACACACTGGCAGGGAAAAAAATTCAAGGAACAAAAGCTCAAATAACCTGAATGATTTTGCAGCTAAGGAAAAGGAACTTGCACAGGTTCTTTGTCATGCCTGACATATTTTCAAAATGCAGAACTGCACAATTAATAAGGCGTGTGGTCACTCAGACTGAAGTGCAAGCATTGCAGTGATTTTGCATGCTGTATACTGGATTTTCAAGGATTCCTGCAGTAACAAAGTATGGTAACATGAATAGTGCCTTGAGGCTCCTGGAGTGTGCTATGTATGCAGATGGTGTTCTGAAGTGTCCCCACAGATGTTCTCTAGGATTTAAATCCAGAAAATATGTGGACCACTCCATTTGCTGGATTCCACTGTTCTCAAGGTAATCATTCATTCACTAGTGAAACATGATGGGAGATGAGCATTATCATTCATTAAAAGAAAGTTATTACTGACTGCATCCTAAACAACTTGACATAAGGATAAATAAATAAAAAAAAAAAAAAAAAAAAAAAGCAATAACAACAACCTCCTTTTTTTTTCATTTAAAGTTGCACTCAAAAAAATATGAAGGTCAGTGTGGTTATTCAAAGTGATAACTGCTGATTCCATCATCTTTGTATCAATGCCTTGCTTTCAGACTATGCATGCATTTTGCTCCTTCCAGAGTGCAACATATCTGGAATCTCAACCCCCTCTCAAATTGACTAAACACTAAGGAAACTTCATCTCCAATCCACAATGATATCACTATAACCAAGTGCATTTCACAACCCAAGTTAGTGGGACACAAAAATTTCCTTGCATACAGCCATCTTTTATGTAGCTCAGCATTCATGGTATATTTAGATTGTCAAGTTCTTGTAGCTACAGAAAATTCCTGCAATCTGAGTGGATATCAAATGTCTATTTCTTTCAGGTGCCATTGCCAAATAATGATCCTGGATGTATTTTGTGGAACATTTTTGACTTGTCTGCATACATCCTCAATGTGTTTATACCATTTTCAGATACTTGACATGATACTTTTGGCTACTTTTATGTCTTTGCAGACATATGTGCCTGCCCATTTCTCCTTCACCCAAATGACTCTCACAATCCATTAAGGACATTTTCTACAAGAGAAAATTTTATCCATGTACTCATACAATCCTTGAAATTAGAATTTGAAGCATCTCTTGCACACTTTTCCACATGCGTCAAAAGAATGAATGCAAATATTTATCTACTCCTGTGCCATATAACTTTTGCTGAATTTCATGTAAGATTAATGTAAAGCACCTTTGCATAACTGTTTCTTTGATTTTTCTCACTAGTGTACTTAGGAACAAGACTAAAAACCGAGTATTTTAAGATTCCTGTGGCATTTATTTCAAATAATCCTTGCAAACAGTTTGAGCTTTTGTTAAAATAAGTCTGAGACCAAATATAAGATCCCACTAAGACATTTAACATGCTTATTGGATTATACTTTACAGGAAAATATTTATGTGCTTAATTAATCAGTGTTTAAAATATAATTAAATGTAATGAGAACACTGTGAGTGCTGATCCAAAGAACCGATTGGCTTAATCGGTGTTATTTTTAGCAAATCCTTAAGATAATTCTAAGATTGTTAAACTATGAAAATATACACAAATTTGTTCAATAACAATACATTTTGCTGGCCTACTTGAGGAGAATAGTTGGCCATGCACGATACTATAAATATACAACAATCATTGGACGCCTGTTGATAAAATTGAAAGTTAAAAGAAAACTCAGTTTATGAATTCTCATTCTATTTTGTATATGACAAACATTTCATATATTTTCTTAATTATAAATGCAGATATTCTAAACAATAGAAATAAAATTATTTTCACCTTTCCATTTATAACAAGTGAAAGAGGCCACTTGACTTCATAATCAAATGCAAAAGCTTCTAATCCTGTCAACTGCATGTCATCTGCATTTCTGTATTCTGCAAGACATAATTTTAAGCTTAATTAATGCTTTCAAGAAAACATCAATAATGTTGAAACTATTAGGAGCTTTAAAATGAAAAATATTTCTTTACTTTATTAAATTAAACTATCAAAATGACTTATGGTTTGTGACCCTTCAAATTATAGTTTAAGGTCTAAAAATATTGTTGCATGTGTACAAGTTCATAATGTACTGAATGCACACAGAATCGATGACAGCTTGATAAAATTTATTTTACCAAAAGAAACACTTCACAGTTCTGGAACTTTCCTTAAAAATAATCGAACAGCTCATCTCAGCATCACAGTGCAATTCATAGCGCATCTAAAATGTGAAGCTCCCAGAGTGATATCTCATTACACTAAAGTGATGTTGAACTAAACAACTGAGAAAATGATGCTCTCTCTGGTTTTAGTTTTATATGGTGCCCCCCGGCTACAGAGAAATCTCTAGTACCTTCACTTCTCGAAGTTACTGGAAGGCATATTAAAGGAGGGGCGGATATGACTACAGTTACATATAAGGCTCAATTATAATTATTGCATAAACAACAAGAGTCAGTGTAATGTTTGTAAATTTTGCAGGCATCTTGTTCATTTGCACTTAGGCACTCAAATCGCACTTAAGTTTATCTCATTCATTTACATTTAGGTAGCTGAAGAAGATCGTTCTGTAGTTAAACCATAGAAACTGGTCCTGCAAAATTTACAAATATTCCACTGATTACTGTCATTTGACTTCTCCAATAATCATTATTCAGTGTGTTATTTTGACCCAATTACAGATATTTAATTAAAATACCAGTTATATAGTTATACACGGGCCAGACAAAAATGTCATTAAGTTTGAAGACTCCTGGCGATTTCTAGAGAAATTTGGTGACAAAAGTTAGTCACCAAAACCATCACCAGCTTGATGATATCTCACCAATTTAATGTGATAGCCATTTACACCAATGTTAAATAGACTTACCCCTGTAATCTTATTTTTCTGCCAATGCTTTGTCTCTTTCAAGCATTTCATGTTACGTTATACAAAAAAATAATACAATTTGACATATAGTTTCACTAAATTTATTTACATATATACAAAAAACAAAATATTTGTATTTTTATTCCTTAATAATTCCATATAATGGTCAGTGCTAATTTACATGTTTTCACATCTTGGTTAAATCCTACTTTTACTTCAAAATTTATTCTAGTTAAATTTTCTTGTTTTTGATTTGCCAGTAGATCATGTATTGTTTATTTTAAAAATTAGCACAAGAAAGTGAGTTAAGAAAAGTTAGCCAATGAAATGAATTTCCAAACTTGTTTACTTACAAACAGTTAAAAATATGATCTAAAACACAATATAATGTTAAAACTGCTTACTTAATACATTTGAAGAAATTTTATATAATAATTATAAACTTTCATGAATTCTATCAAATTGCACAGACGATAATTTTAAGGAATGTGTACACTGAAACTCATCACCTGCATTTTAACCCTTCAGTGGTTGTGAGATTAAGTAATTGTGTTTTCTCAAATACATGCAATCACAAATTTATAATTAGTTTGTTTGCAACCACTGCAGTGCATAGCAGGAATGCAAGCTGAGCTCACTGATGATCATCAAAAGGTTAAAACAGAGTATAGTAAAAGACAGATAATCCGATATCTAATCCATGCACATACCCATTATCAGAGTTATCATACAAGGCTACAGATGTATCCTATGTGAGTAACTGGAGGCATTCAGCATTTTCTTTGGGCCAATATCATGACTGAATGCTATAAGGCAAAATTTTGACAAAGAAAGCAAAAATATTGATAACCTTGCAATTAACTGTTCTGAAGTGAACAACACAATTCAAAGTGTTCCTCCAAATAATTCTACAGCCACACTTGTTGAAATTTGACTTCTCCCCAAATTCAGAAAGAACCCCATTTATATTAACTAACAATTTATAAAAATAGAAAAAGAAAATTGTAACATTGGACTCAACCCATAAGAGCTTAAGAACAAACTTACATGAATTTGCATTTTTGCAATTCTAAGTTTTTCACTTTGAAGGATTCTTTAATTGTTGGAAATTCGGCTTTGTAGGCAGGCCCGAAAATTTGAGAATACGGTTTTTTTAAACATTTTTTCGTACAACGACGTATTAAGAAAATTCGTAGCACAGTGCAAACAAAAAAACAAACAGAATGCGACAATCCACTTGCTGAGTATTCCCTTGCGAACAGAAGCGAAACGCAAAAAAAAATAGTGGGAGAAACAAGTTCAGCGCATTGATTGGCTGGTTAATCGGCGATTGGGAGAACCCGCAGGTTACTGGATTCGAAGTAGTCGGTAGTTGGCGGTAAAACACGATGCAATTGGCGAAAAATTTTTAAATTTCGACAAAAATCACTAAAAACACTTGAAAAAGGAAAAAAATGGATTACGATCGTAAAATCGTAAAGACAAACGCATTTTCGTAAAAATTACGAAAAATTAGTAAAAGTTGGCAGGTATGCAAAGGTAAAACAGATGTGATAAACTTCTTCAAAAGAAAAAGAGAACGTCAAGAAAGTTTAATTATTACTATTTGCCGCAAAGCTTTTGAAGCATTAAACAAACCTGTAGAATTTACAAGCAAAGTAAATGCAAAGCAGTGGAGAAATAAAGAAACATCTTCATATTCTCCTCAATGATATTTTAGGGAGGGCGGAAAAGTAGATTTTCGAGATCTGAAAAGTCCGTGCAACAGCTACATGTAATTTCTGAAACAAACTGATTAAGAATAATTGATTGTGCTTATTTTATAGTTTATCCTCTAGTATGCTTTCAATCATTAAGCGTTTTTGTTGTGTTGATTTTCATTTCTATTTACATACTCATTTTTCTTCACGCATTCTTAGAATATATTGAATTACATTACAAAATCAATTTCTTTGCTTGTTTTTGCTTATAGTAGTATATTACCTTGGTAGGCCTATTAATTTGGAATATTTAATAAACTCACAGTACTCATGTCTTGAACTATTTATTACTAGCAATAGAATCTTTTTTTTTAAATTAATCATTTTTTAAAAATTAATTAAAAGAAAAATCGCTGATAACAAACGGAACTTGCTTTGTTTTAAGTTTCACTAAAAATGATAATAAGACAAAAGCGTAGACTTTTTTTTTGGGGGAGCCTATTATCTAAATTTCTTCACAGAATCACTTTTTTCTTTGATACTTAGTGAACCATATTTACAGAAGTCTAAATTTAAACGAATAAAAAATTGGGAGATTTAGCAAATACCTGCAAGATTTGAAAATGTGATAAAGATTCACTAATTAGGAAAATTGATAACTCTACAATATGAATTAAAATTTAATAAATTTTTTCTAATAATTTATGCAATCTAATGCCATTCCAAATAAGATTTTAAATAGCACAAAAAATTATTTCTACTGTATTTACAATCAAATTTCATTCAAATTCAATTTAAAAAACAAACTCCACTCAAAATGCCTGTAACAAATACTAACCATTCTGGACTTCGGGTGGAATCATCAGTATTCTGAACATTTGGGTTAATAGATCATAAGGAAGAAGTTCAACTCTAAAAAAAGTACAGAAATGATTTTACAACTGGTAGGAGTAATAACAGAAAAATACAAGTCATACAAGAATAAAAATAAAAACAAATGAAAGAAAATAAGTAAATAAAAGAAATAAATTCAAATCCAATTATTCACTGCCAAGCGTAATGCAGTTGTCTTCAAGATTACAACTGCATTACATTAAGAAAATATTTATTTAGCATGAAAAGTATATATAGCAAGAACAACATTAAGTTATTTATGCTTTACACAAATACTTTAACAGAAATTTATTCTGCATTCAGTTTATGTATTTGTAAAATGTATAGAAAGAGGAGAAGAGAACATGAAATTTTGAAAATAATACATTTTGATACTACAGATGGTATTTACACATCTTCAGAATTTTGAAATGTTTAATGTTCCAAATGGCTGTTTAATGTTCAAAATGTAAAAAAGATTTTTTTTTAATGTTTCATCTGATAGCCTTTTTTTCTGGATTATAAGTCTGCATTGTGATTTCCATGATACAAGGGCTTTTCGTTAAATTTCCTGGAGTATAGATTTCCATTCCTCTTCCACTACTTTCCACAGTCCATCAATTACTTGGAAAGATCTCTTTTAAAGAAAGACCAAAATCACAATAGTTCATAGGTAAAATGTCACAAGAGCTTTGCAGGAATACGTTAAAAAGGTATATTATATATATATATATATATATACAATATCTGCATCAGACTTAATTTTTTTTAGGAACGAAGTGGCATTTTTTGGAGTGTGACTTCTTGCTTTATTTTGATGAAGTTTTACTCTTTGAAAATCATTGTGATAAAGTAATGGAATTTCTTTTTTGTGAATATCGGGCATAAAACTTTCTAATTCAGAAGTCAAACAACAAAAATCAGCATTATACCTACAAAATTTTCACAGGACTAGTTTCGATGGTTTTACCGAACCATCATCTTCAGCTGCAAAACCGCAAATGAACAAGATAGGAAATAATGATTAGATAAGATAAGAAAGCCTGAACAAGAATAAGCAGTGTGTGCCCATCTGTTGGCGAAACCAGAACTAAAACATAATTTCTTTAAAAGCCGAAGGCAAATTTGGATTGGAATTAGGATCGTTAACTAGAACAGAAAGATTTTTATGAATGTGAAATGCCTCTAGAAAATACAGTTCTCCAATGGAAGATGTTTTTTGAATAATTTTGGCAGCAGAAAAATTGAAAGTGTGATTTTTGGACCAGCAATGTTGAGCAACAGAAGACTTCTGTGTTTCCTTTTTTCTAACATATGCCTCATGTTGGTTCAAGATGATGGTTCGGTAAAACCATCGAAACTAGTCCTGTGAAAATTTTGTAGGTATAATGCTGATTTTTGTTGTTTGACTTCTGAATTAGTATTTATTCGGCGTGTTATTGTGTCTTAATTATAAAACTTTCTCTTGATAGCATGTTGATGAACTGATTTTAACATTTTTTCCTACTCATCTTATTTTTAATTTCCCATTGTAAGAGAATCCTGTGACAATTATACACCTCTTACTGAAACATTTTTTATATTCATGGGACCAGAGTTGTACACTTTTTTCTCTTCGTTTTCGATAATAAATAGACCTTTTCTATTGCTGTCATTTATGTATACCAATGCTTTATCAAGGGTGATAATTATTTCTATTTCTCTCTTGCTAAACCGTTTTCATATAGGGTGCTACAAACTGTTCTGCATTGAGCCACAAGCCTCTGAAAAATTGGTGAACATTATGATTCCTAGCTTTTTTTAAATTTTAAATCTTGGTTTATTATTTTATTCATTGTTGCTGAAGATATATTTAAAGACTTAGCAATTGATCTCTACATTGGCGGATTTTATCTCATTACCAATGATTTAATTTTAGAAACAGAAATAGTACATACTTTTTTAGGTATTGATTTGGAGTCTTCTTTCCACCTAAAAGTAATGCTTGATTGTTTTTCATTTCCTGATTAATAATGGTGCTTATTTTGCACTTAGAAATTTTAATATCATGCTTTTTGCAATGTTTTTGAATAATGGAATAAGAATATATCTTTTTGGAAAGTGCAAAAACATGTCCTTCAGTCCATAATTTATCTACATGCGGCAGTTTAAAAGAAGAATGAAACTAAAAGTAGCAGACAATATTTCCCATTTCAAATAATAAGCTGTTAGCAGAAATTTTTATTCCAAAAAATTTGCGTATTTAATACTCTTTATCGAAATCATTCTGAAAACTTATAAACTCTGTATTTTTAGCTTAGGTTATGATAAAGAATTTCCATTACTTCTGGCAATGTATGAAATTTACATAAAATAAAATCATTTAATATTTTGTTTTTTACATATTTTCCCATTAACCATTTTGACAAAAAGACATTGTTACTAAAGAGATTGTTGCTGATTTAGTGGCAATAATAAATGAACATAACATAAAAATACATTCACTTGGCTTTGAGTAACTCCTATGAATGAATTCTCGATTAGCTACCATAGAAGTAATAACCCAATTTCTTTTTGAACTACAATTGTTTCAGACTGGAAGGTCTACAAAGCTAATAAATTACAAGCTGTAAGATTTGAACATTTTGGCAAAATGGCATAATAATAAGAATTATAAAAAACTGACACCATTTGTAATCTTATATTTATTATTTAAGTGATTTTTGACTATTTTTGTTACTTAAAATAACATTAAAAGATTTTGGTTGAAAGAATAAGAACACATTTTAATACATCTGTTAGATAATCTCAAAGCTTGATGCCATATTTATTGAAATGACTGACAGGATCTTTGCCAGCTTTTATGGTTGATGGTAGAACACCAGTATTTTTCTCATTCTCCTCCCCCATAAACAGGGTTATTGTGCTAAAAATTTGATTTAATGCCAACGCAGACTGCAAAAAGAAAAAGGCCAAAAAGCAAAAGCACATGTTAATTTAAATATGCAGTAAACTTTCTCTAAAATGACTACTCAAATGTTTTATGTGACTATTGTCTGTTATGGAGGTGGGTCTAGGACGTTTCGCCTTTGTCATTTCACCAACAGATCAGTCCGTCGACAGCTGATTCGCGGTGGGCCATTTCATCACCAAGTAGAAATGAAATACGTAATAAAGGTTGCTTACGACCTAATGTTTTTACTGTAACCTATTATACCTATACAATATACCTAATTATCAGACTGAGAAAACCCCTCCAAATAAACTCTTTAGCTGGTATACAAATCATAAGCTCTAGGTAATATTTTAGCAATTCTAGAAAACATGTTTAATTGCAAAAGATTTTTCCTTTTAAAATTTAAGACAGTCAGATGTATACAATAGATAAACAAAAGTATTAAACTATATAAGTTTAATAATATAATATGCCAAGCTTAATATAATAATATAGGCATGTAAAGAAAAATACATCTCAACTATAAAATAAGTAAACAGAATAAACTCAATATGATATGGCAAGATATAATATAAGCATTTAAAGAAAAATATGTCTTGGCAGCTAATTGATTCAACAGCGAATAGTCCCATTCCCCATGGAGGTAATTAATGTTTACTTATGTTTTTAATGTCTACTTTCAGAGGTGATCACTATGAAAGGGTTCACTATATAAATAAAATAAATATATTAGTTTTAAAAAGAAAAGAAAATGTTGCCACACATCACTTATGTAGTAATTTTTAGTGAAAGGTGAGCTGAACTATGAATAACATACATATGAAAACTTGGAAATTTAGAATTTTATTCCTTATTTAAAGAGTTGAGTGATCAGTAATTCTAAAACTGCATTTAAAGAGATACACTAAATATGGAATATAAAATTCTATCTTCAGGAAATTTAGAGTATGTGACTTATGGAAGTGATACTGATCCAGGTCCATTGAAATTGCAACACTTGCATTCTTTTTCATATGCTGTCAATAAAAGTAACCTTTTCAAAGTTGTGAGGTAAAACACTTTACAGCTTTTAAGTTAGGATACGAACAATTTGAACGATAAAAAACTTACAAAGAATTGATTTTACAAAGATCTAATGTTTTTCAAGAGCTTGTTCAAGAGCATATGAGATTTCATAATTGGAATATCCCTTCAGTACTAAAAAGAATATCATAAAAAATTTAACTACACAAATGAAATCCTATATTTGTATTTTATATTCTCCCACTGAGAGAAATATCAAATTCCAGAGAATTTTGTAAGTACTTAGCTCCATACAGAAAAATTTGCAAAAACAACTTAAGAAAATGCAAATAAACTTTAATTACAGTCATTTCTTTTTTAAAGCAGAATACTAAAATCAAGGTGCTGCAAAAGAACACCTAAGAGATGAAGTTAATTTGGAAGGAAGAAAATGCTATTGTTTTTAGTAATTAAATATATACAATTTTGATAATCTGCAGTTGCTTAGCTCACAAATGCCTGTAATACACTTTTGGATGCAGATAAATTTTTTTTGGATCATTTTTGAATGCAGAGAAAAATTGTTCGAAAAAATTCAATGGAAGAAAGAGAGGAAATAAATTTGGCAGGAAGAAAATGCTTGCTTATTTAGTAATTAACACATATATTACAATTTTTATATTCTGGACTGTTTAGTTCACAAATGCTTGTAATCTATTCTTTTCAGATGCAGAAGGGGAAAAATAATAAAGTTTTTTTTTTTTTTTTTTTTTAATTATACATGTGGTTGTATTTAGAGTTACTTTATTTAGACCTAGTATAACAACAAGACCATTCTAGTATAACAATTTCAATGAAACTTGGTATATATATTACATGGACCATGGGGGGGGGGAAGAAATCTGCAATAATCATAGTTCAAATTTTGACCAACAGATGGCACTTTTCATGCAATGTCAAAAGAACATTATGCAAATTTGGAGCATTTTAAAAAAGCAAGTAGTCAGTGATTTAAAATCAGTTTTCACCATACCTTTAGAGACAAAAGATTGATTACTAATGAAACTGTCTTTGCAGAACAGCACAAACTTTTGAAATGTAATGTGAGAAAAATTGCAGTGCAGTAGACTTGAAAGACCTATAAAAGGGGTCTAGTTGAGGCAGATTTTGAAAATGATGATTACTAAATTTGAAAAACCTTGGGAGCTGAGTGTGCTGCAAGGAAGCAGACAGAAATGGGTTCCATATGAAACTGTGAGAAAAGGTCACTCTTGCTGTGGTCGGAAGAGCATCCAGATAGCAATATTCTTCGACAAATGCTTCAGCAGTGTCATGTGATTTGTCCCTGCCTTGGTTGACAGTAAATAGTTTCTGGTATCCAGAGTAAAGTTCTAATCATACAATATCCTAGTTCTGCAAGAGCTGCATCCTGCTGACCCGGACAAAATGCACTGGTTTTGCTAGCCTTTTTTTTGGCCAGAATAGCCATTGGAAATTCACACCTTTGAAATATTTTGTGGTCAAACGAATTACATTTTACCCTAGATAGTGCAGCTAATACTATAAAATCTATCACATGTAAAGTACTGCAAATTTTAATGTTGTGCATAGTTAGGTTCTGCATCCTGATTACCTTAATTTATGGTGTGGTTAATGCTGATTTCATTCCTGGTCACCTTTTCTTTGAGAAAAACAGTCCTCAAGGCCCTCAAAGGTGTTCCATCATGGTTGTTTGTTACTGTGAACTACTTTAGCAGTAAGTCATTCCTGCCTTGCAAAAACAAGAACGTTTAGAGCTTGTCTTCCTGCAAGATGGCACACCACCTCACATAACAGGACCAATGAAGGCACTGCTTCATGTTGACTTATTGGATTTGATCATGTAATTTGGAGAAGTTTTCCTACTGTTTGGCCTCCTCCAGGAATTAATCCCTATGACTTCTGGTTAGTGGGATTCCTGAAGGATTGTTTCTATGTAGGAAGCACACATACTATGCATGAATTGAAAGCAAGCATAAGATGTGATGTTGCTGCAATTGATCAAAGATCCCTTTGCACTACCGTTGAACATGTTATAATACACTTTGAGTGTGTGACTGGTAAAAATAGAATGCACACTGAAAAAATGCTGTGATTTAATAAAATTCCGTGTTTCCAAAAATTTTTCATGCTCTCCCTTCTCACCTACTGGTTGAAATTTGAATAATGACTTTTCATTGCAGTTCCTTCCCCCAAACAGTCCATACAACACATAAGTTCCAATGAAATAATGTACCAGAACCAGCTCTGTGTAGCCTAAATAGGGTAGTTTTAATTATAACCATCCTGTATGTATATGCAAATATATATTTTAACAAAAAATACATTATAAAATATTTCAGTTAAAAAAATTATGTACAAGTATCAGTGTTCTCGTTTTATAGTAAACATAAATCAGAGACTCTACAATTTTTTGTTTTAGATAAAACACTCGTTTTGGATATGTATTCTGATGTCTTTTAAAATAAATTTTGAGTTTATATGGTTAGCTTATGAAAAGAATTCACTTTTCCCTCAAAATTACAAGCACTAAGTTCTAATTTAAATGCATTTTATAACTGGTTGTTGATTTGTTTATATTTTGAGGAATAAGTAAGCTTGCATTTGTTATTCTTTTATATATACAAGCATGGTGAACATACATATTATTAAAATAGCAGTAACAGAGGTGGGCTTTGCAGCTTAAGAGAAGAAGGTTCTCAGGACAGGCCTGAGAGAATTAAAGAAAATAAAATAAAATTATGCCATGCACTAAAGCAGACTTCAAAGACACTCAGAAACTGGAGAATATAAATTTGAAACTGTCGATAGCTTCACATATTTAGGTTCTGAAATTAATAACTCAAAAAATATTACTACAGAAATAATAATAATAATAAAAAGAAAATCAGTGCAGCCAATGAAAGCGTCAATGGAATATGAAAATATATGAAATCAAGTGTAATTCAAAGAAAAACAACGATTTTACTGTATAACAGCCTTGAAAGATCAATTTTGACATATGCATGTGAAACTTGGATCATGATGCACACAAATGAGGACATGTTGGGCATTTTTGAGAGGAAGGTTTCAAGCAGTATTTTTGGAGGAATACAAAAAGATGGCGTGTGGCTTAGAAGATCAAATTTGGAGCTATATTGTTTATATAATGAACCTGACATCACTACTTTTACTAAATGTCAAAGAATAAAATAGGCAGGCCACGTTATTAGAATGGATGATACTATTAAAAAGGGGGGGGGGTTAACGCCAGATCAGTAGGCATATGGAAAAAAGGCAGACAAAATCTACAATGTTTAGACTGTCTAGAAAATGACCTACTGCTCTTAAAAGCCCCAAACTGGAAAACGCTAGCAGGGAGAAGATTAGTCTGGAAAAAGCTTCTTGAGAAGGCCAGGCCCACCCTGGGTTGTCGTGCCATTGAGGAAGGAAGGAATAGCAAAGGTTTTTCTGATATCATAAACAAATGGAAAATATGGTAAAAAAATAGAACAGAAATTCTTAATAAATCCAAAATTTCAATTCTAGTCCCTTTTTGTTAATTGTTAATAGAGTTATTAATATAATTGCAGATACATGGAATGTAATAGTGGAATTAGCATATGGATTAAATTTATTGTAGTTTTTTTGTTTTTCCCTGGTAAACAAAGTATTTAATATTTACTCTTCCTTTCATTTAACAGGATAAACATTTCTTTAAAACTAATTTCACGAGTAGATATGCCAATATATATTTCCGTGAATTTTTACAAAGTTTTCTTTAACTTTTTATTTCAAACTGTTTCTTTCTCATTTATTTTTTTTCCCTTTCCATTATGATTTTCCTTTGTACCAGTATTATTTTCTATGCATATAGTTAGCTGTAGTACAGAAACATAAAATTTTTGTATTCTATTACTCTTGACTAAATAGCTTCTAAGTTACAGGTGTGTTTTGGTAGCTACATAAAGTATAGACAATCAAAATTTAATGTAAAAATTAGAATGAGAAAAATGTAAATAAAACTCAGAAAGATATGCCCTATAATCTATACAATCTCTAGTCCAAAAGTGTTCAAATTATCTGAATTTTACAGTAACATACGGCTGTTCGGTTGCTTAAGGTTGAGTCAAAACATTCAGGGAAGCTGCTTTGGAAAAAATTGTTTCAGCTGATGTGTAAGAAAATACTACTATAACTTCTCAGTATAAAGGATTAAAATTTGTCAGAAAAAATTCTGTCTCGGATTAGGTTACAAAGGCAGACTCTTGAGCCTGCCCATTAGATACAGATAATGATCTGTCTATCCTTGAACGTTGAAATGGCTTTAAATACACATTAGAAAAAATATTATACTGTTCTTAATACTACTGCCATTTCATAGTGCAACTGGAGGAAAATGGAGATAAGATTGTGACATGCAGACTAATAAGAACAGACCTGACATCATCTTTATACTTGTCTTCATTCACTACGCTTGTACGTAAAGCTAGTTCTAAGAGAGATTCTAGTCTTGAAGGCATGATATCATCAATATCCTTCTGTAACTCTTCTTCTGCCATGTCCATGAATTGAACAATAAAATCTCCTTGATCCAAAAGAAAGTAGTGCTTCACTGATCTGATTATGAAAAAACAAATAATATATCACAATAATTTAAGATTTAATATTTAAAAAAATCCTGCAGATCATCTATTTAGAATAAATAACATATATTTTATATATTATAAAATGTTTATGTGCATTAATTAGGCACAATTCTCTACTTAAAATTTTTATCAAATTTTTTTATTTATTTTATCGTAATGTTAATTAACCCATTAATTTTTTTTATCATAATAAAAACAAATTATAAGCATATAGACAATAATAAAAGTGCAAAACTAAAATAACAATAATGTTTAACAAGTACTGCTCTTTGAAATACTCATATTTAAATATTTATTTTATTTTTATTTATTTATTTTTTTTTACAAAAAGTGTCCACTTTCAAAAAGTAAATAATTACAAAATTTCAATAATAAATCTGTTATTTACATTATGGTCAGAAAATCAACTGCACTGTATTTAATTTTACAAAAAGTTTAGTATCATCAACCTCTAAAATGGGAAGAGTGTATTTTCTCATACAAAAGGGTGATGCTTAATAAAGTAAATTATGATACAGATAATCAAACAATGAGGGACCTTGTTTAAATATTCAGTCTTAAAAACTATTCATTTAGTAAAAAATGACTTTAATTGCATTTGTTTTGATATTAAAAGTCTTGAAGAAAAACTATTCTTGAACATAACCCACAAATATAAATTTCTGTTTCATATCAAATGTTAAGAAATTTAAGAGCAGAATATTGCTTCCTACAAATGCTAGTGCAATAATTATTATACCTGGGATTTGTGAGTTGTAATATTATTAAAATATTTGAAACATTCTAAGGTTGATATATTTATTGTATTCCATAATTAGCATGCCACGGTACATGTTTCCAGCCAAACAAAAGCACTTAGGCAGTATCTATAAGATAATATTTGGAGATTTTAAAACTTCATTTATGTTAACTCCATTGATTATGCATGAATAGACCACTAATTTTAAAATATATTGAAGATAAAAGTTGTATACTTCCCAGAAAAGGAAAACAACTTAATTTTTTGTAAACAATAAGTCAGATTTAAGATTATTTACACATTTTATTAAAATTAAAAAGCACTAAAATAAAATGATATAAAACATTAGATTTAAACTTTAAACATACATAAGCCTTCCTCGTAGATCAGCATCATCCATTAAGAGATCTAACAACTGTTTGCTTGCAAAATGATATGCAGGTTCAATGTATTCTACATATTTGCTTTCACGAGAAGTGTACATAATAGCTTTAGCATCAGGGCAATCAATTGTTTTACCTAAAATAAAGTAATTCAAAAATAAGCTATTATACAGATTTAAAATATATTGCTTAATGTAACTTAATGCAGATATAAATCAAAGAGCATGGTAAAAACACTGAATTAAATATTACTCATGCAAAAGATTTTCCCTGAAAAGTTTTATGTAGGATTCTATATGATTTTATCTCTGATTATTAAAGTAGCCAAAGAACCCTGTTGAAGAGTATCCATCCATCACATTGCATCATGAATAGAGAGATCAACTTAACCCATTAGTCCCTGAAAGATACCTGACACTCTCTAGTTATAAATCTGTGAAGAATTGAAATTTCAGTTGGAACTTTGTAGAGAAGCACACAAGGCACCAGTTAAGGGTCCTGTACCAATTCAGATGGATATTTTGGAAAAAAAGAATGGTATGTGACATAGTGTATATGGTTTATCTGTATAAGAATCCTACTTATAAAAATAAACCCTTCTTTTGAAACTGTTGTAAATTCAAGATTGAGTTTGTGAAAGCAAAAAAAGGAAACTTGCAAAGATTTGCTTAGCAGTGGACTCTGCACCGTGATTTGTAGTCAGAACTAAACAACAGCTTCTCAGTTTATTGAATCAACATTCTCGACTTGACTTTGAGTTATTGTTTCAGTTTCAGTACCTGTTTCTAGAGAAACTTGCATATAAATGGCAAGTCATCATGTTTCTTCAGTATAAGAATGCCTTGCATCTAACTGCTTTTAACCTTAAAGTGGCTAACCATTATTTTATACACTTAAACTGCAACTGAGCATTTCCTTGATAGTAAAAATTACAGGTTGAATGCTTTGAAACTGAATTCAGAACATATCAACATATACCGCCTTCAATGAAAGCTAAAATAATTTTGATTGAATATTTACGATGACAGTAACTCAATTTTCTTGAAAAAATATTTATTCAACTTTATATTCTTTGATAAAGGCTCGATTTTCCTCAGCATATTTAACTCTGAATAATCTCCAGTTTTTTTTTTTTTTTTTTCACTTAACTTTCTTTGGTATTAACTAGGAAAGCTGGCATTCTAGAAGATTATTTTAATTCAAATTCAGAAGCTTGGTCATTGCAAGTTGGCATCTAAAACTACTGTTTGATTACTGGTTCAAAACTTTTATTAATGAAAAAGCTAATTTAATAAACTAATACATATTTTTGATTCCAGTATGACTGGTGATTTAATATTATGAATGCAAGATGAAATGATATTATTACATAAATACAATGAATCTTCTCTACGATGATCATAAGATTAGAACGTTTCTTAAGATCCACACAGAACAAGCTAATTTAGTGAACTAATACATACTTTTGATTCCGGCATGACTGGTGATTTAATATTATGATTTAACATGATGAAACAATATTATACAACTACAATGAACCTTTCCTAAGATCCATGGATCCAATCAATTTTTATCTTCTGCGAAGGTGGTTTACTTTAGAGGTGATAATCAATACTAATGCTTATTTCTGTTCTACATGCTCATTTTCAGAGGTGGTTCACTTAATAAAGTGGTTGCTAAAATAGCATTCTCTGTAGAATAAATAAAAAAAAACACTTCATTTATATCATTTTGGAGCATCACATAGCATCAAATATAAGTATTGGTGGAAAATCTAATCAGATGGCAGCAACTTTAATGATACATAAAGTTTCATTAAAATTAAAACAACGGCTATTTTTATTAATTCTAGATTGGAAATAAACACACATGGAAGGGGGGAAGAGAGAGAGAGAGAGATTTTACAAGCGTAATTTTAAATTTAGGAGGCATAAAACTGCTGATTTCATTTAACATTTCTAAAAATATTTGTGTCTTTTCATGCAACTGTCAGCACATGAATTCAATGAGGTAAGGATGTTTATTTTTCTTTTTCTGTATTATCAGGTTTAATAATAATATTGCACTTGCGATTAATTTGCAGATGTTCATAACAAGAAGCTGTCAACTCATCTGTTTAAGTAAACAAAAATCTAGAAGAGAAAATACTTGGATTGATGCACATTCTTTGCAATAATGCACAGCTATTCATGGTGTGAAATAAATAAATAAGCTATTATATTTGGCTCTTTGGTGACTAGCATCCCATAAATAGATAAGTATGAGATTAAATTATGTTACACATAACAGTAAACTCTGTTATGGCAGGTCCCCCTGGATGACCAATCTGGGAAATGAACTATATTTTTTAGAACACTGATAAATATTGGCAATAAACATAAACTCCCAAGGGTGACCATGTTCACAGGAGAATAAATCATCTAGAACTATTGATAATTATATTGGAGAAGATCATCAAACTTGACTGATTATAATTTGTTTTATGTATTCAGATATTATGATGTTTAATATCATATTGCCAGAATTACAAATGTATTTATCTTTGATTTATAACAGTCTGAAATATTTAAGCACCAATTATAACTAAATAATGATTCACTTTTTCGGTAAAAACATCATAAAAATAATTACTCAAAATCCCACTTCAGAAGATCATTCCCTTCTCAAAATTTCTAAACTGGAGAATTGTATTTTGTGATATGTTCAAATATTATTATTATAAATATATTATTATAAATACAGGGTGTTTATAAAGTCACGGACCCATTTTGATGTTTAATAACTCATAAAATAATGAAGATATAAACAAACTTATGGCATTTATTGATGGAATAACTTATATATTTTCCTTTTCAGGTTTGAATAGCTTTACTTTTGTAAATATCGTCTGCGCATACAGTTAATTTCAGATAATTTCATTTTCCAGTCTAAATATCATCTGCTTATTAATTGCATTTTTCTCTCTTTTGTTTTTGGCAACTATTGCAATGTTATTTACTTTTTCCTTTGGGGATTCGTAAAGGACAATGTTTACAGAAGGAGAGTGTCGAACATTGATGACCTAAAAGCCAGAATTACAACCGCAGTAGCCTCTGTGGATGCCGACATGCTTGCTGGTACCTGGCGTGAAATTGAATATCAACTTCTCCGTGTGACGAAGGGGGCACACGTGGAAGTTCATTGACAAGAGTCATGAAACTTTTGGAGTCTAACTATTTATGTTATTAATTTCAATATAATTAATCTATCTTTATAATTTTATGAGTTATTAAACATCAAAATGGGTCCGGGACTTGTATATCTTTCTTAAAAAGGTGCTGTTTATGTATGTAGCTTCCAAATAAATTATATTCATATAAAAGCATACATTTTAAGTGAAATAATTTAATATAGTACGATTCAAGAGAAAACACACAATTCAGTAAGCTGAATTCAGTAACATAATTTATAATTTAAAATTTTATTTCAAACTTACCACACTGACGAATAACATTCAGGTATTTTCCTGTCCTTAAAATCATATCAGCTGCTTTTTCTAAGAATACAGGAATCTGATCTTTTCTAATAATGTATCGTTTTTCCCAATAACTGGAATTAGTTAAGGAAGATAAAAATAAAATTACAACTACTAAAAGTAAAAATATATGATATTTTTTGGTAAACAAAAAACCATAATAGTGTTTGTTTAAAATTTTTTCAAATGTCAAACTTAAAGTTCAGTATTCTCTCCCTTCCTGTTTCTTCCCTCTCCACTTGTTACCTTTTATGATTATAAATTTGAATATGCACACATGTACATATAAATGTCTGCATATCCATGAAAAATATATTTCAAGTTAATCCACAGTTAGCACAGTAAAAAAATTGGAAATGTTACATAATGTACTAATAAAAATGCACAGTAAGTATGCTTTCTTGTTCATACTTATCTAAAAAAGAATTCGACGTTTTACATTAATCTTCAACAAATAAAAGTAATGAAAAAATACTGCACTTATGTTGTACAAGATTAAATATAGTTTTAAGGCATGATAGAATACAAGAATTATCCTCTACATTAAAACACAGCACAAGACCCTCAAAATAAAAATTAAAATGCTTCAAATTTCATATGCATTTTAACCAAGCTTAGAATCAGTTACATTCAGCAACTAAGAAAAAAAAAATATTTTTTATGCCTGCCAAAAGGCCAATGAAACTACAGATATGGAAAGATGACCCCATATAAGATTTATTTTTAAAAGACTGTATTTAAGAGAATTTATAAGTTATTACAGTACTATTATGTTATCATGACTAGAATTGTTGCCAAATGTTTCACTAAACTTGTCAAGAGATTGGTTCACATGAAGTTGCCAAAATTTAGTTTTAAAGTTATTATAGAACTAAACTGCTTTTGCGGTTTTCTTTTTTCTTTTAAAGTAAAAGCATGCATTTTCAAATTTGGCAACAAGAATACAAGTTCTAAAGATAAAATGGTCACTTCTGTTTTTATTACTGTTCTGTTTCCCAAGGATATAAAAATTTGGGACTTTCCTAAGGATGAAACATCTGCCATAAATTTTTTATAGGAACGAGGAATAATTTACTTTGAAAGAAAGTGCACGAAAAACCATACAATGAAGCTGTATTTCAATTCAAAGGAAGCACTGAAATTGAGATACAGTTTGTTAATAGCAGTTCGTTTTATTTATGCAGAGTGTTTCGAACTAACTTCCCTTGAATTTTGTCAGTATCACCTTGATATGAATCATTGCACTTTTGCTGACTGGAATAGTTATATGAAGGAAGTCTGTGGCCATGCATTAATGTCTAGACCATCAGTTAAATCAGGCGGCACCGTATTTCCAAAATTTTCGTGTAATAAAAAAAAAAAAAAAAAAAAAAAAAATAATAATAAAAAAAAAAAAACACCACCATTAGTTGTATCTTTCTGCCCCAGTGGCTGAACGGCAGGACTTGCCAAGATACAAAAGAATGTTTTTTAGTTGCTGTGTCTAACTGCTCTGCCAGAACTTTGCTTAAAGTTATTCAAGAAAATATTATTGATGGTACTACAATATACTCAGACTTAGGATCATTTTTATAGTATGATTAGCGAGTTCACTCACCGGCCTTCGCAAAAATGCAGAATATATATATATATTATAATTAAAAATTACAAAAAAGTTTTAAATCATAAATCTTCCCCCCCTCCCCCCCAAAAAAAACTTGAATTTTCCTATCCCTAAACTTTCTCGGGCTAATGTAGCTTCCTCTAATGTGCATCATGATAACCAATTATGCAATTTTCCTATTTCTGCTCACTACTTAGATATTTTTCTGATGTGGAGTTTGAACCATTGGCACTCCGTAACATATAATAATCGCATACTCAACCAAAGAGGAAAGGCTGTTGGAAAGGGTATAACATTAAAGAACTAAAAGAGGTCGAATTTGAACATTTCTGTATTAACTATACATATAATTTTGTCGATCCCAATACTGGTTGTCACACACAAACTATTGAAAGGTTATGGGGCAGTGCGAAATGACAAAACAAGTGTCATCGTGGCACAGACCACAACCAATTAGACTCTTATTTATTTAAATTTATGTAGTGGCCACGTTTTGATTTGTCTAAAACGCAAATGTTTCCAGACATTTTGAATGATATCCGCAGTTTCATACCTTCGTGTTAATCTTAATACCCTAATCGATTTTTTTGGGTGCAATTTCTTTGGCAAGCTGTATTATTTACATTAAAAAAATTGCTATTTGTCGAATATTTGTTATTTTTCCTCTTAGATTTTTCTTGAACTTAACAACACAGTAAATATTTTAGTATTATTTTTATGCTTCGAATTTTTCTCCAAATTGCCAGCTTTTGGCAATATCCAGTCCTGATAACAGAACAGTACTGCTATTACTTTAAAAACAATTCAATTAATTGGTTTAAAGATAATTAAAAAAGTCTGCAGGGGTATATTTCTATATGTGTCTCATTTATTCTTTTTTGATTTTACAGATATAAATTTCTGAAAATTAAAAAAAAATAAGCATATAAAATAACAGAAAAAGGCTCCCTCATCTTGTTACTTAGTTATATATCTATATGAAAAAAAATTCACCAACTTTTTAAACTGCATACATGAGCAGAATTGCCAGAAATTTTCAACTGAAGTAGCAGAAAAAGGATCCAAAAGTAAGAAGAAAAAAGTAGCACATGAGGTCAGAGATCATGTTATTTTAGTGATGTCATAGTTACATATGTTCACATGATTTCTGACGTTCTTGAATTCAGTTTTCATTGGTTCTTAAGTTACAGACCGTAATTTGATTTTTAGGCTTTTTAATTACATCATTTTAGTTCAGAAGAAAATTTTAAAACTACATTGCTAATTATCCATTGTTTAAATATTCATTTTTCTTTTAATTAATGCTCAGTTAATTTAAGGTTTTATTTTAAAATTAATTTGTTCATATCCATTAAGTGCATCCTCACGTTTCGATTATTAGCATATTAATCTTTTTGAGTTGGCAGTTCTAATTTTTGATTCATTATTATTATTATTATTCTTTTTTGCTTTTTTTAATTCTTAAGACTTTTCAGTGAATTTTCCGTTCTGCTCGGCTGACTTATTTTATCAGATTCTAATTACTAATAAAAACATTGTTCCTTCATTGTTAAATTTCTTTATGTTGTTATTTAAAAAACTGATTTTGCTTTGATTTTTAAGTCAACTTGATTGTTTAGTTCTCAGAAATATAATCAGAAGAATGAATTTCATTTCTTTCTCTGTATGAATGCCCAATATGGCATTCAGGCTCAAAATTGTTTCCTTATCACAATAGAATTGAGAGGAAAACTGACAGAAAAAAATTTGTAAAGCAATGAAATCATCAGTATTAGTATTAAGGTGTATAACTTCGTTTTACATTCTTTTGCAATATTTTTCCTTTCATTAGTCTTGTTTTTATGGAACTCATCTATTTATCAATAATACAATAATTTTTGCTCCATGAGTTCAAAGAAAATTTTTAAATTGCTTTTTACAGAGGCAATTTTTTAAAATATATTTAGTATTAATTTTTGAAATAATCCCCATAATAGAATTTGTTAACATGGAAAAGAGAAATGTTACTAACATATATGCTAAATAAATAAATAAATGATGTCCTTCAAACTTAAAATTGAATTTTTTCTCACAGAATTTTAATTAAGAAAAAATACAAATAATGATGTCTTCGTATTTTATAGATATTGAGATAGTTATTATAATTTTGAACAGGCATTCATGTCTTAACTTCTAAAGTTTTAACTCTGTTTTGCTTAAACAGCATGTATCAGTTCTGAAAAGATTTCATTTTAAAATTAATCTAACTTTTGAAATAAAATACATTATTGAACAAACACAATGAATACTCTCCAAGTCTCATGATTCCAGTAAATTTTGATTTTAAGAAACTGTTACATGCAGCTAATGTTAATTTATATTCTTGTAAATACAAACTATTTTCAAATGTGATTATCTCAAAAAAATCTGCTGTAGTCATATTCCACTGCACTGTGAAGATAACTTATCTAACATGATTGAAAAATAAATTTTTCATAAGAAATTATTCCACTTTGTTTGATCCACATAATTAGTTCTGAAAAATTATTTCTTCAATTAAAAATAAATTAGTGTTTTAACTCAAATAAAATAAATTACAGAACATATTAACGTAACACATTTCATAAATTTACTAATGCTTAGAAAAAAAAAAAAAAAAAAAAAAAAAAGTAAAAATGCCCATTTTTTATTTTAAAGTTATTTAAAAGAAGATTGAATTTAATAGCTCTTCGTCATCCTATTAATTTCCTTGGTCTGTTATCCTCATTTCTTTCTTTATATAAATATCTGAGCTATATGTATGCATGAGTGGTGAGTGTACAAAGTAAATACAGCAGAATTTCTTTTTTTCCAATGACACCTTCATATAAAATATGGAATCTCGGAATTCCAAATGCATTCAATTTTGATGGTTTGGTTTTTGTCAAACAGACTCTTGAGAATACCATTTCTACAGTTGCATTGCTTATTGACACATTTTAAATATTAAACAAAACAATCAATCAAACACATAAAAACACCAGTTGTGTGTTTTTTACTGGTGCTGAAAATTGCTTGCACTTGGTCTATGATATTAGGACAACAACCTCTATTTAAGCCTGAATAATTTTATTTTATTTATTTATTACAAATTAATTTTAGTAGGTATATTATTTTAACATATAAGCGTCTTATGATACACTAAATATTTTAAAATCCCAAAAGGTAGCACAAAGAAATGATCAACAAAAATATCACAAAATCGTATACACATAAATTTTAGTCGTATAGGTTCGTCAAGTCCAGCATATTTGCGAAAAATCACAAAATCTGGCGGCACTGTATAGCTGTGTTAATTACACCATGAACACTTATGAAAACACATATTTGGTGCGCATTGCAGTTGTTGGCTCTCAAATTTTGTTATTATTTTTATTGTAAAGATTTTCTTTTTCATACCAATGTGGGTCAACCTGACTTTTCTGGATGTAAGTAGTGGCAGCAATTAAGCAGTGAAGATATAGTGACAGCACTTGATTTAGTGTATCTAGTGATATTAATTTTCCAAAGTAAGAGAGACTTCAAATAATGAACATTATTCAAGTTTAGACTCTCATGTTCAAGAATGATTATTGACACATCAGAATTCTTCAGATCAACCCTTAGAAAAACGGTTCTCAACCTCTTTTAGCCTCATTCACCTCTTTCACCACTGCTAGAAGATCATCTGCTTCCTTTTTAAAACTCAAAAAATACAAATATACATTTATTTAGATGATTTTTTAACATGCTAAATTAAACAACAAAAAGTAGAGAAAATATTGATAAATACCAAAGCTTGAATAAAAGTAGTTTTTTATATTCATAAACTAAAATTAAGTACTTAAGAACTAAATAAAAGGCTGACCACATTCCTCTTTGGTTGAGAATCCCTGCCTTAGAAAAGGCCTTATTCACACCAACACAAATCATCAACCACAATATGAACTAAATTTAGAATGTAACAAACACTGCATATCTACCTTGAAGATAAATATTTCTATATAATATTTGAAATTACTTGGGAATAATGATGGTGTTCAGAAGACCATACTCACAGAAGCTAACAAACATGTTTCTATGCATTTATTCGAAGTATATTCGATTTCTATGCATTTATTTCAAATTCTTGAAATTTGAAGTCTTTCAAGAGTAAGATCTTGAAAGGTCCAGTCGCGACAACATCACAGATGACCAGCAATAGTTACTGGGAATATACTCGTAGAATCAGCTTGAAAGTGGATTTCCACATACAATAATTTTACTCTGAGAGCCAAAATATTTTTTTTTACATGTAATACTGCTTACAGTTCAGCCAATTCGAAGGAAAGCTAAGAGATTTCTAAATGATGTCCAAATCATGTTACATTAAGATGGAAATTCAAGTATTTACACAAAACAAGGAAAGGTTGAGAATGCTATCGAATTTAAGAAACTGACAGCTTGGACTCAATTTGGATAAAAGCACCATTCATATGGCCTGTGTATAGGAAAATGTTAAAAGTAAAGGGAAAAACTGTTCTTTTCTTATTGAAATATAAATTTACTTTACAGAGTATTAATTCTGAATAAAAATTTAAAAAAAAAAAAATGTCATCAATTGAGACCATTTGCTATCACTAGATAATACCCAATTTTTTTCTTAACTGGTGGCAGTCAATACTTAAAATTATTTGCAAAGACAGAATATTACTGACAACAGACAGCAAATCTAATTTTTTAATAGTACTTGATGTTTGCTAAGTGTTCAATTTTTGTGGAAGCTAAACAACACTTTTAAAATTTAGCAAACACTTTAAATTTATTTTTTATTTTTAAGGGTTCTTATGTAAAGATTATAATAAATTTTTATTTAAAGATTTTCAAAGTACCAATAAAGGTGACACACACATGCACAAAAAAGGATACGCATTACTGCATTCCACAGGTAATTCTTCTTTTTTGATTAATTCGTTATCTTCAACTAAAAACTACAAAAAAGATGAAAATACAATAAAAATGGTGATAGGCATGAACATTTCAAAATCAAATAATTATTATTTATGAAGGAAAACATAAAAAATCTGACCTCTGAATAATAATCAGATATGATTCCTTTATAAATCCACTTTTCTAAAATCTCAAAATAAGGTAGTGCTGCCTGTTTAAAAAAAAGTTCAATCTATTAAATATTTAATCAGGTTTTAATTCGTTAACTACTTACATATCACAGAGATATAGCATATTTAATACAAGGGGTAATCATAATAAGAAAATGCAAACTATAACATATATTTCCTTCACACACTTTCACATTATATAGCTTTTGCTGATGTTTCAAATACATGTCCAGAAAATGTCCATTTATCCAGTGATTATGATGTTCAAAATAACAGCTGGAAACTAGTGTGCCCGAATTTCCCCAATTGATGAATTTCCTTGCAAAACTACAAATGCACTTATTTCTTGTTGATTTTAATAAATTGCACATATGAATTAGAAACTGCCATATTGAAATCCAGATGTACACATTTTAGTGATACATGTAACAGTGAATAGTATGGGAGCAGCTGATCTTGTGTATTGACTCTTGCATGTATTTGTTGAAATCCTGAATACTATCTGGTTTGGTAAGATATTGTTGCCTTAAAAAAAAAAAAAAAAAAAAAAAAAAAGTAAAGTTATTCAATAAGAGCTCCAATAAGCTACTGGCCCACACTACAACAATATGAAAAGACCTAAGGTGTAGAAAAATTTATCTCATTGCCAGTACTCAGTGAATATTCTGGCCAGACAAGATATCTGCAGTGGTGAATACAAGAATTCCTGTTCTGGAATAAAACATGTAAATTTTAAGATAAAGAAAATTTTCAATATGTTTTAAACAGAAATGTTAAATAATATTCATTCAAAATCTAATTTTACGGTTACATTTAAAAACCCACTTCAATATCTTGAACATCTATTTATTTTGTGCAATTTTTTATAAAGAACAAAATAATGATCTTTTAAAAAAAGTACTTAAGATGTCTTTAAGATACAATTATTGAAGTAAAATCTTTTTCAGAGATTGGGCAAAATTATAAGAAATGATTAAAACAAAAACTTAACTACAAATTTCATTTTTAAAAAATCACTGTATTAATTTTATTAACAATATTTACAACTAAGGGTGTTTGCACAATATAAGAGCCAGTTTAAGATGTATGCTTGTTGAGCAGACTGCATCATATTTTTTATTCACCAATAATTAAAAACAATCTATTGCATACAGGTAAAAATTCAGAATTATTAGCCCAGAAGGGCTATTAGTCTCGATACAGCATTTGGCGTAAATTCACCATAAATGTTTGTTTCACCTTCCAAAGTGCCACCATTAAACATTATCACTCTGTATTATATTTAAAGAAATTAAATAATGAAGAATCTGCATGTATGTATGTATGTTTCTCGCTCTGTGAAAAAACAATATTACCTAAAGCCACCAAACTGCGGACATAGTCCTCCACCTGAATATGAGCACCTGGAAGCCTGAATTTGGAATTTGTTTTATTGTCTATCTCATATTCTGTAAAACTTTGTAAAACAAATTTTTGATTAACAGAATTTACGATTTCAAAGCAAGCAATCGCAACATTGTACGGGAACCCCCCGCCCATTGTTATAAGCCATTGCACAAGACTGCCATCAGAAATTCTAATAATGTGCTATTTTTAAATATTTTTAGCCCAAATGTTCTTGAAATGTGTATGTCTGTAAATGGGAAGGAGGGAACACACACACACACGCCCCCTTTGGATGTAATCTAAAACTAGAAAGTTTTCAGAATTTTTTGTGACAAATTTTTAAATAATGGTACAGAAATTTTTTATTCATTGCCAATAACATGCCAACAGCTAAGTTCTTAGAACTAACAATATGTTAAACAACAGCACAAATCAATATGCTCATTATTATTATTTTGATAGCTTCAAATGGCAACTCACTGATAAAATAGCTGCCATTTAAAAAACCATTCTGTTATTTATTTTGGAAAATAGGTTGACTACATGAGATTCTTTTGGTTTTCTCCATATTATACATGGATATAAGACAGTTTGTCTTAAAAAAGTTTTCACAAAAGTATCGTTCCTCTTAAGCACATAACACTCATTATACCTTACTTTAATAGATTTATAAAGAAGCTTTTTCTCTACAAACATAAGAACTGCAGATGTTTATGTTTTTTAAACGGTTTCATGTAAAATAAAGAAATTAATACAGTAATACATGTTATTATTTTAAAAAAATGACTTGCTTGAAACATTATTATTAATGGACAATGTGTGATACAAACGAGATGCACATCACCTAACTGAAAGCACAGTGAAGTTTGCTTACCAAATACCCTATGCGAGCAACTTCAGTAAGTTGATACATGTCAAAACAATAATCAATTTCATGTCAATTTTAACTGTATAACAGTTATGCAATAATGGGCTGCAACAATTTGCAACTAAATTTCTTATCATGATGTGGGTAAGGGGGCATAACATAGCACAGTAAATTCTATAAACTTCTCATAGAAGTACAGAAACAGATGTAGGGGGCTGCATGTAGCCCTGGACCAAAAGTAGTTAAAACAATAATTGTTACTATACCAAACAAACTCACATTTGCTAAATTATGACAATAATTCCCCCCACCCCCAAATAAGAGTTAACTGCACAGACATAATCAGAAGATTATTTTTAAAAAAAGTGCCCATCAGTTTTGCAAATCATACCTTAAGCTGAAAAATTAATAATTTCTATGAGCAAAGGCAATGGTTGATTCATACACAGAATAAGAAGTGAAACAAATAATAATAAACAGGGCTGTGGAGTCAGAATCAGGCAGACTTTGGGGTAAAAAGAGTCGGAGCTGGAGTTGCTAAAAACAGGTCAACTCTGACTCCAGTTTTTGTTGGACAGTTTCAATTTGAAATGAAATAAAAATGAATTGAAAAAATTAATGACAAGCTGAGTGATTATTTTTATTTATGGACTATACACATTAATACATAGTTATTTTCTATTTTATTGACATATTAATAAATAAATATAAGGGAGGGGGATGGATGTGATATTTGCCATTAGTGATTAAACTGATTCAGTTAGTAACAAATCTCACTAATAAATTTAGTTAAGCAGCAAGAACTCCCGAAATTGATGCCATTCTTAAGAAGCGAGCAGAAAAAGGAGCAATTATTGATCAAGCAGCGCGATAAGGAAATATATATTTGATGATAAAGAGATTTTTAGAATTAAGAACTTTTTTAGAAGATGTACATAAACCCTAATGTTTCACTAATAGAAAGACTGTGGAATGTTCTTGCAGAATTGGAAACTCTTCTTTCTACACTGTATATAGCCACAAAAAAGCTGCAATCTGAAGAATTGACAGGAGGCGAGAATGGAAGAATGGGACGCTTTGTTCTTTCTGAAATGGAGGGTTTTATTGCAGAAGGAATAATTTCTTCAACGAAGAAAAGAGAAACTAGTTTGTTAGACAATGAGATCTTGTTGGGTTCAATATATGTAGATCTGAAACACCGAATTTTTTTTGATGATGAACAAATTAAAAAGGCAAAGAAAACCATCTATGAACTTTCATTATGAACGAAATTATTCTCAGAACAACTGGAGAATTCGAATCAGGACAGTCAAATTGCAGACATTACAATTGAGTCTCTATCATCCTCTTCTAAAGATGGATTAGATTTTGTTGATAGCGTATAAACCACAATAGAATAAATGTGCTCTTTAAAATTAACTATATTTGTTTACCATAGCCACACTCTGACGCTAGGTTCACTTAACAGCCTTATATTTCGATCTTATAAATCAGAATGCACAAAATTTATATCATTTGAAGAATTATCTAATCGTTGCCACATGTTCTATTCAAATACTCTAATATATCTAGAATGATGTATACAAGAAATTAAGCAACAAAACAAAAAGAAACAGTTTTCACAGACGATTAGTATTCTCATCAATTAGTTCAGTTCTCCCTTTGGCAACAAGGCAAATACATAAAACACAAAAATCTGTATTAAAATTACGAGTAAATTCTTAACACTCATTTCTTGAAAAATTTCCAGAAAGGATTAAGGATGATTTAATTTGCAATAACAAATGAAGGTGTTATCTTTGTTGTTGCTAAGCTACGTTTCTCTAGATTGGCAACAAATCCACTACTCTGCTGTTTCAAATGTAAACAAATACATTCACCATGTTATTTAAAACTTAAAGCTTAACCACACTTAAACAGCTTTTAAATTGTTGATAATTATACAAATATCGCTTGCAGATTTACTAAAGGCATAAAATCCTTAACCGGAAGATAAGAACAACATAATTCAATCATTTTTAAAGCAAAAAATGCACAACTTAAAAACATATCAGAATAAAGAAATTGAGATCACCGAGTCGTGTAGTAGAGTGGATATATATACAAATATAATTATATATGTTTGGTGCGGCCGATTTCAACCAAAATACGAGGTGTACCTCTACATGTTATAATAGTCCTACATACAAAATTTCAACGGTCTGAGGCTACTCGTTTTTTAGTTATGCGAGATAAGTATGTACATACGCCACAAAAATTCTCTTAGAATTATTTAAAGCATTTTATAATTTTTTGGAGGAAAAGAGTCTTTATTCTCTCTTTTATACAGATTTCACACAAAAACATCGTTAAATTGCATTGATCGGTCAAAATGGATCTTTGTTGAAATATGCTGCTGAAATTTTTCGCGATTACAATACTTTCTTTTTACTTCGTACAAGGAAGTAAAAATACAAACAGGATTTCTACACGGTCTTTGAAGAAATAGAGAAATATGATTGCACTTACAAGACACCTCTTTTAGAACTTATAAAAATCTATCCTGAAAAGTTAAAAGAAGTAGCCCTAACAGTAACAGCTCTTTCTCCTACTCAAGTTAGTATGGAAAGACTCTTCTCAGCTCCTAAGTTAATCATATCGGATCTATGGCCCTCCAACAAAGAAGATCTTGGCGAAGCTGTACTGTTTCTTAGAAGTAACTAATGCCAGTTTTTCCATTTCATAATAAATGCTAATTAATATAAATAATTTGCTATGCCATCAATTTTTTTCTGTAGCATTTATTACTTCTTTTATAATAAAAAAATAAGCTGTAACCCATGTGTATATGTTTACATACATACATACATATATGTACATATATATATGAGAGAGTCGGAATCAGAGTTGGAGTCTTTAAAATTCCGGGAGTCGGTCATTTTCCCATCCTACTCCACAGCCGTGATAATAAACTTAAAACAATGCAAAAATATCAGAAATGCACATTAGCAACATCTTAGGGAATCTTGTAAATTTAATGTTTACCAAAATTTATGGGGGAAAAAAAAAGAATATATTTGATTTATTTAGAATTTTTTAGCACTCACTGCTCGAGTTAAAGCATGACATATTTCTTCAGCTTTGCCAGATCTAGAAAAGTTAAAATAATTAATTACAAGGTACGACAGGGAAGAAAATTTGATATTCAATATGTAAAATACTTCTAAAATAAATCTTTTGTTTTAAATAAATCTTTTATTTTAGAAAGGGCAAATTAAATAAAAATTTAATGTGCAAAAAAAATAAGATAAATCACCCAGCCAAGGATGCAAGATTCTCATGAAGAACAGAGAGCACATTTCCACCAAAGCATTTTCCCTAAAATAGTTTAAAGTTTAAGTTATTCATATACACATATAGGACAAACACATAAAATTAAGTCATTACTTATTAAAAATATGAAAAAATACCTAAGTGTAATAACAGGTATTATATTATTAGGGGTAAAGTAAATAATGAATTTCTTTACCTTTTAATTTCAGTACTTGGAAATGAGATTATGTACAGTGTAGAAGAAACAGTAACCAATAATGATGCTCAGAGCAGATTTGCACGTTACTATGTTTCTCATTAATGTCAGTAAGTCATCTAAATTGCATTTAATTGTTTACTTTTAATTTACATTACCCTGTATTTACAAGATAACAAGCTAACCCATATATGAAGCAAACAATTGAATGTAGTTTTAAAAAATATTTCTGGTTTACAGCAGACATCAGAAAATTAAGAAAATAACTGACTTTTAAGAAACTAGAATGCTTGCTCAGTATAGGCTTTAAGTGACAATTGCAACCTCGTGCACAAATACACATGTAAAATGCTTCATTGATTCTGCAGCACTTTGATGGAAAAGTAATATTTTATTTCGACGATATCTCTTATATAGTAGAAGCACAATATTTTTGTTCATGATACTCTAAAGCCCAGGTTCAGCATTTTTTCAAGATTAGGGTAAAAACTATAATTTCTTATTCTTATATGTATATAACAGACAGAAAGAAAGCACATTAAAAATGCACATTGTTGCAATCAGTATATTTATTATTATTTTATTTCAGTTAGTAATATCTTAATGTATTTATTTACCAATTAAGCTTTATCGTATTCATATATATTACATGAATATGACATTATGTATAGCTTTCAGCATTATATGCAGTTTTACATGTGTGTGAAAGGTTTTGGAATACTTTAATCACAGACATAAAGAATTATTGCAATTTTTTTTAAACAATGATATAATTTAGAAGGATAATTCAAAGTACACACAATTCAATATTATAAATTTTACACTGGAATTATATTTCACATTCCCTCTCTGCTTCATGGAATGGGGAAATCCATTACCACAGAAAGAACATGGCCACCACCCTGGGATCGTGACATCACTAGCAGCAGGTAAAGCAAGTGCCTTGGTAAGCACTAGTGCCATAAAGAATGCACTCGCATCTAGTTAATGCCATATAAGTTCAAAATAAACTGTTTTGGTTGTTAAAATTCCCATTTTTTCCTCAATATCGAAACAAATAGTGTATTAATTGAGAGTGTTTCCTTTTATATCATCAAATTTAAGACATTTACTGAATGAAGATTTTCTAATGAATTGATGTAAATTCGTTTTTTAATTTTAGATTGTTTTGTAATTATTCATATTTTGTTGCAATACATGTACTTGATAAACATAGCATTATGTGATTTGTGAAAAAGTTTATTGAAACAGCTTCATATTTAAACATTTACTTCCATTCAAACATTATTTATTTCAAACATTGAACATTTTCAGTATAATAAATAGTAATTAGAATTAATAAATAGAAAAGAATTTATGCAGTTTTGAACTTTGAGTACTAATTTCAAAATTATCACATAATTAAGTTAATCAAGAATACTACCTAGTCATACACTAAAAAAATTATTGCAAAATGACCTTCAAAATTTTTAGGCATTTCAGAACCATTCATAATCTGTATTGCTAAAATTGATATGCATACAAACAAACAGAATATAAAATAGTACAGCAAGTATAGACATGTGATGAAAT